AAGCTTGTGCCAAATGCTGAAAGCCTTATCTTAAAATGGCAGTTGATTTATTTTATTGTCGGGTAAGCAAAACCTGCAATTTACAAGGACAAAATAACCCGAGAACAGACACGGTTGGGTTTACAAAATCTGGATCCGTTGTTGAGTTTGATTGTTACAAAGAATGGAAAGACACATAAACATTTGGTTCTATAATTGTAGCTTTTGCATTATGTCTGGTGGGAGAATTTATTTGGATATTTTGCAGCGTCGAGGTCGATGATTGTGCTTTATTGACATTTTAATCATTTGTGTTATTTGTTATGATGACTTTTTGGGTGGCCGAGATGTGGAATCGAATCTTATATCGCACTGTGAGTAACTTCATATCACTGTGCGGAATTTTTAAAATCCAAAACGACAGCAAACTCACGTCTTTTAAGACCCAGTTCTTTCTCATTTTGACAAGTTTGGGATACATTCTGCATTCTTGCATGTCTATTCATCAGTCACATACAACTTCAACCTACTCATTGATAGCCACACAGACGTATTTACACAATGATATTTACAATCTATGCTAAACCATATTAACAACACAGTTAATCACTGTTAGATGAATTTCTCTGTCTGTCTTCCAGCTCCTGGTGCGGTTCAGTTTTGTTTTCTCCTCTCTACGCGAGCGGGTGGTCTGGGCATCAACTTGGCCACTGCGGACACAGTCATCATCTTTGACTCGGACTGGAATCCTCATAATGACATACAGGTAATGCTGGGTTTTCTGATGAAGAGTGCCAGAGGACAAAACACAGTATTTGAATAGCCATTATTTGTTTGTGCTGTTTATTTTGTCACGCATAAACTATTAAAGATGACCATTTACTCCCAATGATCACTATTGTGATCGTGCCTTTATTTCCTCTTGAAAGCTCTAAAAGTATTGTTGTTGTTGTCTTTAGCCAAGAAATTTAACCTTTAAATGAAAATAATAGTTTTGATTAATGGTCTGTTTCCACTGAGTGGTACGGTAAGGGTCGGTACGCTTTTATTCCTGTTTCAACTGTCAAAAGTTACCAAAAAGCGAACTGTACCATGCTACTTTTTAGGCCTGTTTACACTGAGTGGTACAGTATAGCTCGGTACGCTTTTATGACTGTTTCCACTGTCAAACGGTACCAAAAAGCAAACGGTACCATACCATTCTTTGTGTACCCTTTCCAAAGGGTACCTAGCACAACAAAAGGCTACCAAAAGGCAGAGATAGATGCATAGCCAAATGCTATTGGTTTAAAGAGAAACGTCACTAGCACCTGCACAAGCCAGAAGAATAAAAACAAATGAAGCGCCATTTGTAAATACACAGCCAAGACATTACACCGTAATAATATATACATATAATAGCGAGCCATGGTTGACCCGATACAAACCTTGTCGTCGTTTTGATGAACAGCGACAAAACTAAGAAGAAGAGCAGAGTCTGCCATGTGTCCTGTTGTTATTTAAGAGGCCGCTTAAAGCACGAGCGTCTCTCCAGAGAGCTCGTGATCGCTTGCTGCGCGTCTATATTTGAAATAATGAACTTCTTGAGCCGATGATAATAACGTGATTATTGAAGTGCTTCTGACATCTGATCAAAAAACAAACGAGAAGCCTGAAAAAAGGAGCAAATGATTCTTTTTAGCAATCTAAAAGTTTAACAAACTGCTTAATGTTTAATTATTATCCTGGCCTTTTGGACTATTATGAGCACAAAATGACGAAATTACTTATTTTTAACAAGATGTTAACGTTACATTGTGCTGGTTAAGAATAAAGATGCGAGGTTTGTACTGACTGCATGTGTGTTTCATATCGTTTTTGAACCCAAATAGGGCCTAAATGTAAGTTTTAGGGTTTTTATTATTTTTAATTGGAAACATTTTAAGGACTGTAAGTCTCTGTATGTGTGTTCATATTTGTTTTTTTTCTTTGGCTGTGGAGACATAAGCCCGATAAAGGTGACCTATATCATACCATACTGTACAACTCAGTGGAGACAAGGCATTCAATGTCACATGACCAGATCGGTTTACATACTTCCTGCTTGTACATCAAGATAACTAAGAGGTGGAAATTTGTTAAGTCACAATTGTAACTGGTAGTATTAATATGGTTAATAATTGAAATCAGGGCAAAGAAGTGGTGCTGTTGTCTCACAGCAAGAAGGTCGCTGGGTCGCTAGTTCGAGCCTCGGCTCATTTGGCGTTTTCTTTGTGGAGTTTGCATGCTCTCCCTGCGTTCGCATGGGTTTCCTCCGGGTGCTCCGGTTTTCCCCACAGTCCAAAGACATGCAGTACAGGTGAATCGGGTAGGCTAAATTGTCCGTAGTGTATAAGTGTGTGTGTGTGAATGTGTGTGTGGATGTTTCCCAGAGATGGGTTGTGGCATCCGCTACTTAAAAAACTTGCTGGATAAGTTGGCGGTTCATTCCACGGATTAATAAAGGGACTAAGCCAACAAGAAAATGAATGAATGAATGAATAATTAAAATCAGTTGAAAGTGGAAGTGACATGATGTGATTGAAATGTCTATTCTGCATTTAACTCATACAAGTTCACACACATACACCAATGAAATTCTGATTATGCTTTTCCTATACCTGTATATAAAATATACCTATATAGTAAGGCTGCATGATTTTGGAGGCAACGTTTTTCCAATCTTCTATTGTTAAATTTTTAGTGAGCCTGTGCGAATTGTAGCCTCAGTTTCTTGTTCTTAGCTGACAGTAGTGGCACTCGGTGTGGTCTTCTGTTGTTGTAGCCCATCCGCCTCAAGGTTGGACGTGTTGTGTGTTCAGAGATGCTCTTCTGCATGCCTCAATTGTAACGAGTGGTTATTTGAATTATTGTTGCCTTTTTATCAGCTCGGACCAGTCTGGTCATTCTCCTATGACCTCTGGCATCAACAAGGCATTTGCGCCCACAGAACTGCCACTTACAGGATATTTTCTCTTTTTCGAAACATTCTCTGTAAACCCTAGAGATGGTTTTGTGTGAAAATCCCAGTAGATCAGCTATTTCTGAAATACTCAGACCAGCCCGTCTGGCACCAACAACTATGCCACGTTTAAAGTCACCTAACTCACCTTTTTACCCAATTGAGTTGCTGCTATGTGATTGGCTGATTAGAAATTTGCATTAACAAACAGTTGGACAGGTGTACCTAATAAAGTGACCAGTTATAATTTGAATAAAATTTCGCCAGAGGATTTGATAGCTCTATTTGGAAAGATTTCATTCATTTAGATAAACTGAGAATATCAAGTCTTTTTCTATGCAGTGAATCTGCATAAATTATAATTAGTAACAAGCTAAATAAAAACATTGTTTTATATTTTCTGAAGAGTTCAACAGTATTCAACTCCAAAAAATAGAACAATCAAATGTAAAATAGCATGGTCATCTTTGTATTAAAAAAACATATAACATATATATATATATATATATATATATATATATATATATATATATATATATATATATATATATATACACACACACACACACACACACACACACACACACACACAGACACACACACACACACACCCACACCCACACACAAAATATATATTTTATAAAATCTTTATCTTTTCATCTTTAATAAATTATCTTAAATCTGCAATGTGACTATAGCACATTGCGATATCGATGCTCAAATGATATATTGTTTAGCCCTACTATAAAGGTATATAAAAACCTAATTTAACCAAAAGAATATCACAGTAGGCTTTTTGTGTTGAGGAGGTCTAAGGAACTAAATGTATATTTTCAAATTACAATACAAAAATTGGGATTAAATGGGTTAAGATAAAGCAGTATCAAGTGAATTTAGCAGTGAAAATCAGATTGTCTGACACCATGAGTATTGCAACAGACAAAAAAATGTGTAGTTATTTTGTTCATAACTACCAACAAAAAGAACACTGTTTTGTTTCTTTTGTTTTCTTTGTTGTGTTTGCCACCTAGTGGACACTTTGAAAACAGACTTATAAAACACAGTAGAGCAGGGGTGCTCATTCCTGTTCCTGGAGATCTACCTTCCTGCAGATTTCAGTTGCTACCCATATCAAACACACCTGCCTGTAATTATCAAGTGGTGTTCAGGTCCTAATTAATTGGTTTAGGTGTGTTTGATATGGGTAGTAACTGAAATCAAGAGGAAGGTAGATCTCCAGGAACAGGATTGAGCACCCCTGCAGTAGAGTATATGAAGGGAACTCTTGAAAGTTTACATGATTTTGAATTTGATCTCTTTCTCTCAGGCCTTCAGTCGAGCTCACCGCATCGGTCAGGCCAATAAGGTGATGATATACCGCTTTGTGACTCGAGCTTCAGTTGAGGAGCGAATCACGCAGGTGGCCAAAAGAAAGATGATGCTCACACACCTGGTGGTGCGGCCCGGATTGGGCTCAAAAGCAGGATCCATGTCCAAACAAGAGCTGGACGACATCCTCAAGTTTGGCACAGAGGAGCTTTTCAAAGATGAGATTGAGGGTGGGATTGATGATAAATTAATCAATGTTCAAGTTCAAGATTGAATGGACTGAGTTTGCTATACTGAAGGTTCACCAGTGTGTTTCTTTTTTGTTTTCAGCAGGGGACAATAAAGATGATGATATGAGTGTAATACACTACGATAATGCAGCCATCGAGCGTCTGCTGGACCGCAGTCAGGATGCCACCGACGACTCTGACATGCAGAACATGAACGAGTATCTGAGCTCCTTCAAGGTGGCCCAGTACACTGTCAAAGAGGATGACAAGGTGGGAGATGCTTTTAAGTATTAAAATGAGCTATAAAGCAGGCTTTGATTTAATATAACACTCCATGTTTTTTTTAAATAGGCTTATTTTACAACTCTCCTTGAGTTATAATTATATTTTTAGGGTATTTTCCAACTTAAATGGGCCTAGGAAATGACAGTGAAGATTATAGACAGGAAAGTATGGGGAGCATAGAGGGAGGGAAAGAATTGGAAAAGCACCTCGAGCCGGGAATCAAACTTAAAACAAAATTCAACCATTTTTTTAATCGATTCAGCCAATATTGCCTGCTGCAATCGTGATACACAGCAAAGTTCACTGATTATTACGCCAGAATGAGAGTGTAGTTCCTAGCTATATCGGCCTAGAAAATAGCATCGTTTCATTTTCCATCAGTCTTCTGTAACTACAGAATTGTCAAGCTTCATTCATTCATTGAACACAAACTTGTAAGCGTTTTAGTGACTTTTCCACATCCAAAACTATCTATTGTAGATAGACAGTTAATAACAACATTACCGTTTACAAACTACAGTGGCACCGCCAGTATTTTAGAGCCGTAGTATTGCAATACTACCACATTACGGGTAAACCGTGCAACCCTAATTCACACCTGTTCACACATGTTCACTGGGGTTGAGCCGAGTAAACGTGCAAACTCATTCATTTATTTTCTTGTCGGCTTAGTCCCTTTATTGATCTGGGGTCGCCACAGCAGAATGAACCGCCAACTTATCCAGTACATATTTCACACAGTGGATGCCATTCCATCTGCAACCCATCTATGGGAAACATCAATACACATTCATTCACACTCATACGAATAATTTAGCCTACCTAATTCACCTGTACCTCATATCTTTGGACTTGTGGGGGAAACCAGAGCACCTGGAGGAAACCCACGCGAACGCAGATAGAACATGCAAAGAAAACACCAACAGAAACGCCAACTGACCCAGCTGAGGCTCGAACCACAACCCTCTTGCTGTGAGGCGACAGCACTACCCACTGCACCACCGTGCTGCCTTACAACGTGCAAACTCTCCCCCTAATATGAGATGGCACTTAATGAAAAACAGAAATACCCTGGTACACAAGGTGGCGCTGTGAAACTTTTTTCTTTGTACAATTTTTTCCATGTGTATTACGCTTTTCCACTTGTTTTTAACCTCCTCTGCTAAAGCACAGTACACACAAACACCTGATCAAAGGTTTGCGGGAAACGGTTACAAGCATGAAAGATACGAAATGAAATGAACTCACTATCGAATCCTATTTGGCTAGACCGTTTTGTGCTTGAGTGCCACCAAGTCATGTTTTAGCATAACTTCAATAGCTCAGACCACATGAACAAAGGTTTTTTTAACATGGCGCATCAAATAAAAAAACAACCCTGAGGTACTTTTAAAGAAATTACGTTTTTACTCCTGCCGTTTATCCTTGGTGCCTCCGATGTTGGTGGTGCCAGCGAAAACCATCCCAGTGTGCATCTAAAATAAAAAATAAATATATTTTTTGACAAATGTCATCTTTTTCATCAGATTTTTCTTAAAGATAGATACAAAAATAGATAAGCATAAAATAAATATACACTACCATTTAAAAGATCGGGCGTTATGATTTGATTACTGGACTAACCAGTTTCAAATGCTGTTTTATTCGCTCTGAAACAAAACAGTCAAAGTGTATCACCATAATTATGTCCCAGAACTGTCTCACACAATTGCTTTCCCAAACATCATCCACTTCCGAATGCAAGATAACATGACTGTTTGTTATTGTGTTTGGCCTTTGTGCTCTGAGGCGCAAGTCATTTATTTTGTAGCAAAATAGGTGTCCTCAGTTGAAGCAGCTTAAATTTTTGTATTGATACTTTTGCCAGTTTCCCTGAGAAGTGGCGTGATTGTTCTGTGAAACAAATGGGATGGAAAGGACAGTTTTTTTCACCTATGCTGGATGCGATTTTCTAGCTTTCCACTTATGTTTAATTTGCAGCATTGAATGGAGACATCTGAAAAGCAGAAGTCTTGTGGTCCAATTTCCTCATTTAATTTTATTGATATCGGTGGAAAATAAATGGTAGATATTAAAGAGGCCTCATTTGTGTTTGTGTGTCTAGATAGAGGAAATTGAGAGAGAAATCATTAAGCAGGAAGAGAATGTGGATCCTGATTATTGGGAGAAACTCCTGAGGCATCACTACGAGCAGCAGCAGGAGGATCTGGCCCGCAATCTCGGCAAAGGAAAGAGAGTTCGCAAACAGGTCAACTACAATGATGCAGCTCAAGAGGACCAAGGTACAGACGAACATAAAATGGCCTCACTGTGTCACACCACACCTGATTTTACCACTCAGAGCTGTAACATTAAACATACTCCTAGACCTAAAAACACGGTTTTGGGTTGATAAAATCATGAGACACACCGCAGCGTGCACTCAGAAGTCACTTTTGCTACTTGTTCAAAGTACTTATTTAAAATGAGCTGACACAACACAATCCTTAGGGATTTTTTGGGACAACTTATTTGTTTTTAACCACACTGAACTGAGCTAAACTGAACTGAACTTAAACACTAAAAACTGAACTACCATGATTCAGTTACTATGACCATTTATGTGACGCTGGTTTGACACAATCTACATTGTAAAAGCACTGTACAAATAAAGCTGAATTGAATTGAATTAAATTATGTTCAATCCGCTTACATTTTTAAAAACAATTGGGTTAACTTTATCGTTTTGTGTTAGGACAAAATGTGGAACCCAACATTTTTTTACAGTGTACACTGAAAAAATTACATTTGCTGTTTATTGAAACTACTTATTTAAAATGAGCCGAAACAACACAATTCTTCAGTTTTTCGGGGGACAACATAATTGTTTTTTGTTCAATCAACTTAAATTTGAGAAAACTAATAAGTTAACTTAATTCCTTTCTGTTTCCCAACACAGATTGATTGTGTGGAACCCAGAATTGTTTGTTACAGTGTAACGTTGTGGGTAATGCATTACAAGTAACGCAAGTTACATAATAATATTACCTTTAGGGGAAAAACGAAATCTGCGGACGTTTTTTGCTATTTCTGCTGAGAATTTTGGTAAAAATCTGTGGATTTCTGTGGAATTATTTTGGGAGTATCATACCTAAAACCTTTATATGTGAAATAAAAAAATAATGTCTTTTAAACTTGTTTTAAATGTTAAAAATGCAAATCCAATTAGATTCACATTATTTGATAAAGCAAGTCTCTCATTTAATATATCTACTAAATGACAAAAAAAATGACTTTACAAACTGCATTGTACATAAATCAGATGAACATTTTTATAATAGTTAGTATTATTACTATAATTAATTTAAAAACTGAATAAATATAGATTTACAAACATTTACTTAAGTAAATAAACAGAATTAATGATGGGCTAAAAATCTGCGGAATTCTGTGTGCTCAAATGCCGTGTGGGTCTAGTAATGAGTAAAGTAACACATTACTTTTAAAATATAAGTGATAATATTTGAGTTGCTTTTCTGAAAATGTAATGCGAGTTAATTTTAAGTTTAAATAATTAGCTTTTAAAAATAAATTGTTGAATTCAAATTAAGGTAGTAAATCAATTAATCACACAGTCAATGAGAGAATGTGTGAAGTTCTCAGACAACACCCTAAAATATTATTGTTTAGGAATGGGGTGTATATTTTATTGTTTATTTATGTGTTTTTTTAAAGATAAATGTAGTTGTACATTATACAGTGCGTTGTTAATTGCAGTTAGCTCCTATATTACAGTAAAAAATAATACATTTTTAATAATAAAAATAATATAAAAAATAATTTATTCCTATATTAAAGTAAAAAATTAAAAGAACAAGTTCTGAAAGAGATCAAGCCTCAGCTAGATAAAAAAAGTAACTCAAAAGTAACGTAACATCACTTAATATAAAAAGTAACTAAGTAACGCTACTAGTTACTTTTTTGGGGAAATAACTTAATATTGTAATGCATTACTTACAAAAGTAACTTTTTCAAAACACTGATAACATCAGTAGAGGTCTTTTATCAAAGGTAAATGTTTTATTAAAAAGGTTTTTTTCGGGGGACAAATTAATTGTTTTATGTTCAATCAACTTAAATTTGAGAAAATTAATAAGTTAACTTAATTCCTTCCTTTTTCCCAACACAGATTGATTGTGTGGAACCCAGCATTTTTTTTACAGTGTAACACGCAGTGTTGTGGGTAATGCATTACAAGTAATGTGAAGTTCCGTAATGATGTTACCTTTCTAAATAATGAGTAAAGTAACACATTACTTTTAAAATATAATATATTTAATAATATAAGTAATAATATTTGAGTTGCTTTTTTGAAAATTTTATGCGAATTACTTTTTAGTTTAAATAATTAGCTTTTAAAAAAATTTGCTGAATTTAATTTAAAGTAGTGAATCAATGAGTCACACAGTCAATGAAAAAATGTGTAATGTATGTGTTTTCTTAAAGGTAAATGTAGCTGTACATTATGCAGTGCGTTGTTAATTGCAGTTAGCTCCTCTATTAAAAAATAGAGTACAAAATAAAAATAAAAAGTTCTGAAAGAGATCAAGCCTCAGCCAGATAATAAAAAGTCATGCAAAAGTAACCCAAAAGTAACGTAATGCATTACTTAATATAAAAAGAAACTAAGTAACGCAACTAGTTACTTTTTTGGGAAGTAACTCGATATTGTAATGCATTACTTTCAAAAGTAACTTTCCCAAAACACTGATAACACCAGTAGTGGTCTTTTCTTAAAGGTAAAAGTTTTATAAAAAAAAAAAGTAATAAAACACCATCATGCAAACATAAAACTTTTTATTAAATGCAAAAGACATTCTGCATGACGAAACCACCTAAAACACTACATTATGGCTCTTCATGAATCACATAAATTCTTCATAAATCTTCATAAATCACTTCATGATCACAAACAAACAGGTGCATATCAATAAACTGGACAGGGAATGACAGGGAATGTCATCAAAAACTTGATTTATTTCACTAATTCAATTCCAAAAGCGAAACTCATATATTATATAGATTAATTACACCCAGATTGATATATCTCAAGTGTTTTTTTTCTTTTAATCTTTATTATAGATTATATATTCAATATTTATTTTATATTTAGGATTGATTTGTAAAGCATTTCGTCAGCGTAAGTTGAATTTAAATGTGCTCTATAAACAAAATGGTTACACTTTACAATAAGCTTGTATTAGTTAATGCATTTACTAACATGAACAAACAATGAACACTGCATTTATTAAGTTATTTGTTCGTGTTAGTTAACGTTAGTTGTTCATTGCTAGTTCATGTTAACTAAGGGTGCATTAACTAACGTTAAAAAGCATGAATTTGGATGTTAATAATGCTTTAGTGGGCGGCGCGATGGCGAAGTAGGTTGCGCTGTTGCCTCACAGCAAGAAGGTTGCTGGTTCAAGCCTCGGCTAGGTCAGTTGGAATTTCTATGTGGAGTTTGCATGTTCTCGTGTGAGCGTGTGAGCTCCGGTTTCCCCCACAAGTCCAAAGACATGCGCTATAGGTGAATTGTCCATAGTGTATGTGTGTGAATGAGAGTGTATGGGTGTTTCCTAGTGATGGGTTGCAGCTGGAAGGGCTGCATAAAACATATGCTGGATGAGATGGCGGTTCATTCCACTGTGGCAATCCCTGATTAATGTAGGGACTAAGCCGAAAAGAAAATGAATGAATAAAGTAAACGTTGAACTATGATTCATAAATGCGGTAGAAGTATTGTTCATAACTATTTCATGTTTGTAAATACATTAACTAATGAAACTTTATTGTAAAGTGTGACCAAAAAAATCTTATTTAGTCTAGTTCAAAAACACAAGCATAATAAAATAATAAAACATAAGGTTTCAATTAGTCTATAAAACCCAGGGCATCACCTAGCCCTAAAGTGTGACTTATCTGTTTTGTTTTCTTTTTAACAATGCATGTTTGTCAGGTGCAACTTATTTTCTGAAAAGAATATGTGGTGTTTGGTATTTTGCATACTGTTCTTTGATCACAGCCATGCTCATACTCCATGAACTGTGTAAAACCTGGATGATTACATTCTCCAGCCCGGATCCTTTGTGCTTTAATGGAAAAACATTTGACTGTCGGTACAAAAGCAGTCACATGATCTCCCTCAAATTCAATCATTTGATTTGTGACCTGGAAAGAGTCCGAATCTGAAATATTTGTCATGTTTGTCAGATACTGCGGATCGCAGATTTTCAGTGTGGTCTCAGACATTTGGACCCCAGCGTGTTTTTAATTACTCCAATCCTCCTGCCTTTTATTACAATAGAGCCGTGTCATAGAAATGCAGCATATTATCTCGTTTAAATCTCTGAAATTACATCTTGTAGCAGTTTCAGTCTCGGCATGTGGTTTACTACTTTACTTTTTGATTGAGTGGGAGAGAAAGACTATATCCCACACGCTGCTCTTTTGGTCAGGTTAGCCCAGCCGCATGCAGCTGACTCAAAAACGGCTACATCCACAACACCCAGGGGATGCCGAAGTGTGGCAACTTTTCATTTATGTGTCAGAAAGAGCAAAACAAAATGGTCGGGAGAGAAGACAAATAACAGAAATGAAAAAGGAGGCTTTTGCTAGAACGAAGCAATATGGAATTTATGGTTTTGCGACTGTGCTTACGGCTACATAATTACAGTGATAACTAAGATAAACTAAGTACATACTGTATACTTTTCCCTGTGTATCCAAGCAGGCTGACTCGCATGGTCGTAATGTTGTGGCACACCCTCTACCAGTGTTGGGGAAAGTTTCTTTTCAAAGTAGTGCATTACAATATTAAGTTACTTCCCAAATAAGTAACTAGTTACGTTACTTAGTTACTTTTTATGGTAAGTAATGGGTTACTTTACTTTTGCATTACTTTTTAGTACCAAGCTGAGGCTTAATCTCAGAACTTGCAGGGTGTGTTTACTGCAATTAACAACACACTGCATAAACTTCATTAAAATAACACATCAAAAATAATAATGTAGAATATGCTAACTTCTAAGAACTTCCCGACCCAAAATCTATAGCAGGGTGTCTGCGGGGTCTTAAAAAGTCTTAAAATGTCTTAAATTCCAAAAACTGAATCTTAAGCCGTAGATCTTAAATCATTTTAAATGGGTCTTAATTTTCCTTTGTTTATGCAAAGCTACTCAGTCAACCCAACACACATCCAATCACTGACAATACATCTCAATTAAACTTTTAGCAAAACTCTATTTATAACTAATATTATAACAGTCTGTTGTGCATACATTTAGTTTATTAAAGTTTTAATTTATGTGATGTTGAAAAAAAATATTTTTGTCGAAACAAGCCGACCTTTTGAAATAATAAGTAATAGTAAATAATAAAAAAATCTATATTTTAAGTAATATATATATATATATATATATATATATATATATATATATATATATATATATATATATATATATATATATATATTATTATTTATTTATTTTTTTTTTTTTTGATGGGGCAAGTCATTTTTTTATTGCTGGGCCAATACAAAAAAGCCTTAGTGTGCATGCGGATAAAGTGCTTCACTTTTTCCACATTTTTTAATGTTACAGCCTTATTCTAAAATGGATTAAATTAATTTATTTCCTCAAAATTCTACACACGACACCCCATAATGACAATGTGAAAAAAGGTTTTTCAGATGTTTCAGCAGCTTAATTGGAGTTTATCTGTGGTAAATTCAGTTGATTGGACATGATTTGAAAAGGCATACATCTGTTTCAGTCAAAGCACCTGGCATGTCATATACAAACCAAGCATGAAGAAACGTTTCTGATGGTCACTCTGTCTGAGCTTTCTTCTGTGGAGAAAGGAGAACCTTATAAAAGGGCAACCATCTGTGCAACAAGCCACCAATCAGGCCTGTATGGTAGATTGGCCAGACGGAAGCCACTCCCCGCCTGGAATTTGCCAAAAGTCATCTAAAGGACTCTCAGACCATAAGAAACAAAATTCTCTGGTCTGATGAGACTAAAATTGAACTCTTTGGAGTGAATGCCAGGCGTTACGTTTGGAGAAAACCAGGCACCACTCATCACCAGGCTAACACCACCCCTACAGTGAAGCATGGTGGTGGCAGCATCATTTTGTGGGGATGTTTTTCAGCAGCAGGAACTGGAAGAGTCAGGATAGAGGGAAAGATGAAAGCAGCAATGTACAGAGAATGTATCATTTAGGTCTAGGATGTGCAAACATCCCTGGAGAGATCTGAAAATGGCTGTACTCTCTCTCTCCTCATCCAACCTGATAAAGCTTGAGAGGTACTGCAAAGTGGAATGGGCAAAAACTCCCAAAGACAGGTGTGCCAAGCTTGTGGCATCATATTCAAAAAGACTTGATGCTGTAATTGCTACCAGAAGTGCATCAACAAAGTATTGAGCAAAGGCTGTGAATACTTATCCACATGTGATTTTTCAGGGGGGTTTATTTTATAAATTTGCCACAATTTTTGTCATTTTTCACATTGTCATTATGGGGTGTCGTGTGTAGAATTTTGAGGAAATAAATGAATTTAATCCATTTTGGAATAAGGCTGTAACATAAAAAAAATGTGGAAAAAGTGGAGCGCTATGAATATTTTCCGGATGCACTGTATATATTGTTTATCGGCCCAGTCCTCATTATTATGCTAAATAAATTACATAGAGAACTGTCAAATGGGATTTTTTTAAATATATGCTCCACTAATTGACTTTTGTGGGTTTTCATTTTAGTTTAAGCAGCCCTGTGTTTTCCTGTATGGCTAAATCATTGTGTTTGACAGCAGGATTTGGACAGAATGTGTGTTGATGGTTAGATAAGTAGAGATACAGAACATTTCGCATCAAAAGAGCCAAATCTGAAAGGATCACATCTGTCTTGCTTTCCACTGTTGGAGAGAGTCACCAAATTGATGTATATGGTTTAGGTCGGGCTTCATTTTGAGGATTCTGGTGCAGGGAAATGATCTGACCACTGGGCTGTGGTTTGCAACGAGAGTTCATTACTGACAGAGCTCTTTTGTCTGTTCTGTTCACAGAGTGGCATGCTGACATTTCAGATAACCAATCAGAGTACTCTGTTGGCTCGGAGGAGGAAGATGAAGACTTTGACGAGAGACCTGAGGGTGAGGAGCAAGCATACACACTCTGCCTTCATATTCCCCAATTGTTCATAATAATAATAATTCTAATTAACATAATAAAATGAAAGGCTTCAACTAATTCAATATTTTTATTTAATTTATGGTCTCTTTTTAAGTGGTTGATAAAAAAGCTAAAATATCTCATGACTTTATTGAAAAAACAACTCAAGCCAAATCTAGAGACGAATCCTAGCTCTGTGGTTGAAACATTTACGCATGCAAGCTCCGCTCACAGAAGAATAATTCTAGTAATATGAACTACTGTACTCCACCATTAAAAAGTCCAGGCTAAAGTGGTGCAGATTCATATGCAGAATGAACAAACAGTGCCAACTTTACCAACTAATTTGACACCCAGCGTCTTCACAATAAAACATCTAACTAAAAAAGTGAAGAAAACCCTGGGTAAAAAAGATCAAAACTGACCTCAAAAACCAACTTGGACTACTTGATGCCAAACACAAAGCTGTCAAGCTGCAAAACTATTTTACCAAAATAAAAACAAATAACTCAGGGACAAACCTCATCCAAACGGTCATGTTGCAATACTCCATTCTTTTAGACTTTAATTAAGACATTATTTTGTTTGTTTGTGTCCCTTTTGGTTCTTCAAATATATATATATAAACGTGCTATAGAAGTATTTTTGTCTGTTTGTCTTATATCTTATATAGGTCTTTAGGTTCAGTCTTGAAAATGGAACCAGTAACAAATTTTGTCAGCTGTTGGTTACAGCATAGGCTCATTCTGAAAATGTAGCCCTATATACGTTACTGGAGATTGCAAATTATGTAACCAGATGTACCAGAGGGCTGCATTTCGTCTTTAAAATCTATGCTATGGGACGTCATGACACCTTTCCTTTTCTCGCTTACCAGCTGACCGATTACATCCGTATCGACGGCTTTACTGCGGTTACTAGTTTGTCCGGTAGCTCGACATGTACAATGGCAGACTTGAGACGCACAGAGGAATTGACCACAACGACATGTTCCAGTAAATTGGTAGGACAAAAACAGAAGTCAAAAAATAAAATAAGTAAATAGCAGGGTGAAATGTCGTAAAATCTGAAAACGTGGTTAAAATCAGGTCAGGGCTTTTCTTTTTCTGGATTGCTTTTTTAAAACTGTCAGTTGGGTTTAGGGAAGTGGGTGGGCACTGGTCAGTCGGTGCTTATGAAACACTATTGTTTGGGTTTAGAGAAGGAGGAGGGTGGGTCAGTCAATCACTCAACAGTAGCCTCTAGTTGATTACCGCTAGAACAGGTGCGAATGACCCTCAGGAGAGAAATATGAGATCTGAAATAGTGTACACAGCAGCCTCTGGTGGATTTGTGAAAACAAAAACTGCAACTCTGGTAAATATGTACTCCTGGTACATATTTAGTGCTCTCCAGAAATGTATATAGCTGTACGTTTTCAGAATGAGCCTGGCTTGGTTCTTTTGGTTCAAACTAAATTATCATAGATACTTATTCTAATGAACTGCTCAGCCACACCAGAGTTTGTTTTAAAGGTTGTTTAATTAAAATAAAAAAATATTGATGTAAGTTTCAGTCTGTCAGTTTTAAGGATATCTATAGGCTAATGTGTTCCAAAACAGTGACAAAATTCACATTTAGACAATTGCCTCTTTCACACATACAGACCTTTCCAGAAAATTATTTTCGGAAAGGTCTGTATGTGTGAAAGGCCCTTTTCGAAAAATACCGGTAAATTTGTTCTGGCAATTTTCCAGAAAGAGAAGTTGTAACATTACCGGTAATTTACCAGAATGCTGCTCTGTGTGAACCCAGAAGGAAGATTGCCGGAAAGAGCATGTTCACGCTGACACGCTGACGTGAAACATGTACTCCAGAAAATCAGAACGTTCAGACACAGACACAAAAAAGCCTTTGAATATTTTTCCAGGCACATTTAGCAGCTAGATGTTAGTCTGATAATGTTTCTATGTTCCTTTTTAATGCCAACTGTATAAACAATTATCGATAAATGCTTATGACAAGCTATTGTTTGTTTACCTTTAGGCTCTACTTCCTTCAGTTGCTAGAAGCAGTCGCGAGCGCCAGCCCACACACATACAATGTACATCTCCACATGTGAAAGTGTTCCTCTATATGTTTTCATCTAAGTTGTTCACAATACTGATCCATCCACAGAGTTTGTAATGTACTCAAATGTTTACAAATACAAGCGCAGCCGTTTAGAGCTCATTTCTGGGTAATGATGTCAGAATTTACAGGTATTTTGGAATGGATGTGTGAACGGTCTTTTCCGGAAAAATTACAAAGCATCCTTGCCTGTGTAAACAGCGTTTTTTTAAATTTACCGGTAAAGTTGTTCCAGAAATTTTCCGGATATTTACCACTATCACTGTGTAAAAGGGGCTAATATAAAACTGATATAAACATTCAAAGATTGCAGTTTAACACTTCTGTCTAAATGGAACAACAGTTTTTTCACGTCACCACATACTTAAGTTTTGTGGTGTGCATCAAATCTAGATCAATCAAATGCTCTCTAGTATCTGTTTCAGATACTTTCAGTTGAGATCAAACACAGAGTAAAAAAATGCACATTTCAAAGCACTTTACGGGGCCTTTAATCAATTCAAACTACCACAAGTTTATCAGCCAGATCAGCACCAGTAGCCTTTACAACTAAAAGAGACCAAGTAAACCTTGACAAAGCATTTTAAGACTGACCTCAAAAGCCAGCTTAGTCTACTTGATGCCAAACTCATAACCCTCCAATGCCAAAACTGGAAAATTATTAAACAAATGTTCATGCACCAGCAGCACCCACAGCAATGTACTGGCTCTGGGAAAAAACCTCATCCAAACTGTGATGAAGTGATTCTCCTACCCTACTCATCTTTTGACGATTTATTTAGGACATAATTTGGTCAATTTGTGCTCTTTTGGTACGTTTGGTTCGTTATTGGGGCGCCTTGCGGCTTTGTCAGGTTTTGCTTTTCTTCTGGAGGCACATTCACAGTTTATGTATTGCAGCTGTTCAGGATAATGTATCCTTCCTGTGCTGTAACCCTGTTTCCTGATGCTGGCGCAGTGAGATGGACATGTTGAACTGATCTCTTGGCTGACTCTCCTCTCCCCTCGTCCAGGTCGCAGACAGTCACGCAGGCAACTTCGAAACGAGAAGGACAAACCACTGCCACCCCTTTTGGCCAGAGTTGGCGGCAACATTGAGGTATCGCTGATTTGTTTTTGTTTGGCTTCACTTCTGTTTATTTGTTTGTTTTGGCACTACTATTGTAAATCACTGTTGCAAAAACATGTCAGCGTGCTTGGTGTAAAATCAACACCAGCTTACTGGTCACAGTTTAATGTGATTAATAGTGCATTTTCCCAGTGTTTGCTTATCTGGAGGCCAGTATATACAGCATCTCTGGATACGTGCCTCTCATAATTAAATTGACTGACACACAGCTGGAGATAACAGGGCTGCATTTTTGCTCTTTTCAGAATTGCCCAGTAACATTTCATAATGTCAGTAAAATCAGGTCTGTTTTTCATATTGGAGCTGATTAGATTCAAATAATTTACATAAAAATGTCATCAAATGCTTTTCCAGAATATAAACATTCTTTTATCATCTGACACACGCTGAAACCAGAAATTTTCAAGAAAATAAAAATAGTATGAGATATATTGAGCACACAGCAATGTTTTAAATGCTTTTTTGCATATGTTTATTTGGACTATGATTATTTTTTTAAAGTTGGATGTAACCACTTTAAAATGTAATTCGTTACAATAAATCAATTAATTTCCCCAAAAATTTAATTAGAATATAGTAGTGCGTATAATGTATTACTGTATTCTAATTAAATTTTTGGGGAATGCAGTCATGTAACGAATTACATTTTAAATTTGTGTAGTTTGATTACAGATAAAATCACTATAATTTCATTACTTACGTTACAAATATAGTTTTTAGAAAAGTTTTTTTTATCACGTTTTCAGTTGCAACGTCAGTTAAGCCCAACCCCAATTCAGCTTTCTACCCCTACCCCTTCCCCTTGGCCCTTGAAACAGAATGTGAAGAGGAAGAGCTTCAAATTTTACCCCTAAGAAATGGGACAGCACTACAACACCTGCACACATCATCATATGTCATCGCGAGCTCTTACTATGTGAAGTTTATTCATAAACAAATTTCAAAAGAATCATGTGCTTATGATTGCTTGCGTCTGGTCCAGCATTGTCTAATTAATGTCTAATTCATTGTCCAATTTACCAATCAGATGATTCCTAAGCCACTATAAATGCCCTAAGTCCTATGCAGAGTTTACACATTCTCCCCGTGCTCACGTGGGTTTCCCCAGGGTTCCCTGGTTTCTTCCCACCGCCCAAAAACATGCAACTTAAGTTAATTGACTAATTTAAATCGGCACCATAGACATGCTCCTAGTAAGTAGTTATCTCTTAAGAGCAATTACTATCTGTTCATTAGCTACCACAGCAGGGGAGTTCTCGAGATCTGCTTGAGCTCAAACACTCCTCTCGCCTTGCAAACGAGAGGGAGCCCTGAGCTCGAGGATTTTATGAGCACAGGACTCTCTCCCGGGAGAGCATGCCAAACAATCTTTATAATCAATCATCAGCTAAGCTTGAACTCTTAAAAGATGAGATTGAGGATGCTGACTGCTGTAGTTATTACAGTAGTGTTATTTTTTGGTAACTATCTTCAGGAAATCACTGAAGACAGTGATATCATGTTATCATAACGGTATAATGTGGCAGTAAGATCGTAACTGTACTGCGCATTTACACCATGGTCATATTCAAAAGCATGACTGTAGAATATGAACGCCACTATAAATATATTCAAACATATGTTTGTTGTAAAAATTTGTAATAATGACAAAAATACTAATTTGTGCATCTCCTTACTTCCGTGTGCAGCCATGTTGCGTTGTAGCTGCTGTATTGTGGGAAATGTTTGTACCACTTGGTTTTGAGTGTGGTCCTGAAAAATCTGTTTCAAGGGCTATCTAGCCCTTCCCCTTAGCCCTACACCTTCAAGCTAAAAAAAATCGGGACACCCCTACCCCATCACCAGATGCACAAAACGGCCAAACTGGATTTTTGTGCAGGATTGGGAGAAGGTAACATCTGAAAAAACTGAAGAGAAGCATAGCTGCTTATGAGGCTGTTCACATATCATGTATTTTGTGCGTACAAGTTTGTTATTTCCAATGAAGCCGGGTCTTGCGCAAACATATTGGGCACACTCACATATTTCAGATTTCACTGATTGAACATTTGAGCATTTACATTTTGTCTCCACAACTGCAGACAAAGTGAGCTGTTTGTTTTTCCTACTATGAATGCCAATGGCTACAGGTATCCAGTTTTCTTCTAAATGTCTTCTTTTGAGGACAAAAAAGGACAAACATGTTTGGAACAAGCAAAGATTAATTATCTCTTTAAATCTTTTAAATTTGCAAAGCTGCTGTGTTAAAACCATTATGAAGTTTTTCTGTGAATATAAAATTACTGAAAGAGCCTCAGGTTATTTTGTATTTTTGTTTTAAAAGTAACTTCAAAGTAAAGTAGTTAGTAATCTGGTTACTTTTTAAATTAAGTAATTAGTAATGTAATCAAATGACAATTTTCCGGTTGTAATCAGTAGTTTTATCACTTTTGTAATCTATTACTTTTTTGAGTAACTTACCCAACACTGATTCTTTTTTCCTTTTATTTTTCTTTGCCCTCTTTTCCCCATTTTTATCTTTCTACATCACTTAGTTGTTTCGTGCTACAAATAAATACATTTGAAGTTTAATATTTGCAAAATTCTGTTGCCAAACATAAAAGCATTTTGACTTTGTTTTGTATGTTTAGCTCTTTAGGTTCAGTTTTAAAAATGACAACGTGAATGCTAAGTAAACCAGGACTAAATGTATCATTTTCTTCTTTTGGCCTGGACTAAACTGACCTAGAGATTTGGTGCTGACAGCATCGTAGGTGGTTTACCAATACGTAGCTCAACTGCTCCTTGGGTGTCCCAAGTTTGAATCTCAGCTCACAAAGCGATCCTCCTTTCCTGATCCCTTCTCCCATCCTCTAAATATTCTCCTATAACAATAAAGGCAAACAAATAAATCTTTTAACTAACCTAGAGAAGCACTCACTTTAATGCAACCTATTTGTGTTTCGATGCTGATTTCAGTGCATTTTAGTATTTTTCATTAAGGTTTGATCATTGTTTGTCTGTCAGGTATTGGGCTTTAATACGCGTCAGAGAAAAGCCTTCCTGAATGCCATCATGAGATGGGGGATGCCTGCTCAGGACGCCTTCTCTTCTCAGTGGCTCGTGCGGGACCTCCGCGGCAAGAGCGAGAAAGAGTTCAAGTAATGCTTTTTTTTTTAATAAAAAATATGAAGTAATACAATAATGTATAATCTACAGCAAAGGAAACTTCACTTTAATTCTGTCATGTTTGTTTATTCCTCTGACAGGGCATATGTGTCGCTCTTCATGAGGCATCTCTGTGAGCCAGTGGCTGATGGTTCCGAGACGTTTGCTGATGGCGTCCCACGGGAGGGGCTCTGCAGGCAGCCGGTCCTCACACGTATAGGAGTCATGTCTCTGGTCAAGAAGAAGGTCAGTGTTGGTCTGCCATGTTTTAGAGAGTCAAACCAAAGCAGCCTTGGTGGATAATCAGACATCTTTTAAATGCATAAAAAGGCTTAAAGACTTCAAAGTCTTTAATGCTATATTTTCTTCAAAGCCTTAAGCATTACACAAACTGTAAGGATCAGATCACTTAATTGAAAATGTATTATACACACAGACACTACCTTTTTCAAAATGTACACTATATTTTGTATAACTGCAGGTAACTATTTATAATGATTTTGATTGTGATATAAAGATGTGAAACTTTTGCAAAGCTGCTTTGGAATGATAATCAATATGCAAATACATTTAAAACGCATAGTTTTTATCTAAAGATTTATCAAATTCCTAATGATTTACCCTGTAATGCCTCTGTTAGACAGTTGGTAAAACTCTTGAATGAGTTTAACGCACTACTGCTGCAGCCATACACATTCAGACAGACCAATGGCTACTGTGTCATGTATCAATGTTGTGTCCTGTTTTAAGGGTTAAAATTTTAAAAGTCCTGTTTTAAGGGTTAAAATTTTAAAACTTTGTAAAAAAAAAAAAGATTTCACAAGAATTTATTTCCTTTTACTTGTGTGCTTCACCTTTTGTACTGAAGAATGTGTTATTTGTGCCCACAAAACCAGACATAAGTGTCATTTTTTAGAGATTTCAAATATATGTATGTGCATATATATATATATATATATATATATATATATTTGTGTGTGTGTGTATATACAGCAGAAAGTTTACTAAATATCTTCATTGAACACAATTTATATCTAATATTCCAATGATTTTTTGCATAAAAGAAAGTTAAATAATTTTGAAATAAAATGTAATTTTTTGGTTATTGTCCAGAAGTATACCCATGCAATTTAAGGACTTATTCACACAGATCACGTCTTAGCTTCTAAAAACAAACAAACAAACAAAAAACATTCAAAAAGTACAATGCAATGGTCTATGCGGAATATTATGAACGTCATGTAACAACGACAATAACTTACCGATTTAAAAAATGGGAAAATAATCTGTTATGATAAGCACTTAAAGACACATCATATAACTCAGGATATCTGGAGAAAGCCACAATGAGTGCCACTTCCAACATAATATGAAGGTAAATAAAACATTTGTCATGCCAACTTTGCAATGGTTGCCTCGCCTCTGAGCTCATCTGATTGGTCCACTGCTTTTGGACCCGACAGTGATGAGATGTGCTGCATGAGAAAGTTGAAGATTTTACAACTTGACGCTAATTCTAAAAAAAGTGACACTCACATGGGAAGCTCTTCTAAAGATGCAAGCATAATGGTTAAACACGTCTGTCAAGCACATATTTATATTGAAAAAGAGTAGAAAAGTAGCACACTGGAACCTTCTGCGTGAACGACCCCTATTGCTGTGTTCACACCAGATGTGGCACACGCGAATGAATAGCTCTATTCGCACACAGTTAGATGTGTGAACATTTTTGGTTTACTGCATTCGCTATCAAATTCGCTTAATTCGCGCATCAAATTTACTTCACAATAGACGCAGATTCATGTCATGGGCAGGGCTTCTGTATGCCCGGTGACTCATACAGCACAGCTATTTAGTGCTTTAGGAAGGCTGAAAAACTACGTAGATTTGTCCAGAGCCGTGTCTGAGTCCACTAGGTCCTTTCAGAGGTGCACCCAGCTCTGTGAGCTAATCAACTCCTCCAGGAACTATACCTGGATGGTGGAGGCTTTCAGCGGTGCTTCTGGCTGTGCCGAGCCCAGTTTGATAAACTGTTGTCCAGTGTCGAAAAGAGATTTCCCCCTAGGACACCAACAACTGGCACTACGTCATAATCACTCCTCTACAAGAGCAAGCTCATGATTGGTTAACATGGCGCAAATGTCTGCTGAAGTACAGATTTTCCAACTCGAGTGATTTGCATTGACTTAACATGTAAATCTCTCGCAACTGATGCTTCATCCACGTCTGGTGTGAACGCAGCATAAGTTTTGTGGTCCAGGGTCACATTTGATTTTAACAGCCCCTAAAAATCAAGCAAAATACATACAGGTATAATTACTACAACTTTTAGTCAACTAGTCAGATGGAGATTTTCCCATTCCTACAATTATTGTTTCACAACAATGAAGATAAGCATATAAAATGTAAGCTACTTTATACTTCAGTTTTTTTCTGATTGTGAACTGTAGTAAAGAGGCAGGTGGCCATAATGTTGTGTGCAGGTGCAAGAGTTTGAACATATCAATGGGAAATGGAGCATGCCTGAGCTGAAGCCAGAGATCACCGTTGACTCTAAGAAATCCTCAAGAGCCTCTTCGCCCACCATCAAGACAGACACTCCCACACCTGAACTGAGCTGCAACAACACACCCTGCACCTCCAAACCAGGTACAAACCCACCCAAGACCCTTACACACAAAGACATTTTAGCAAACAGAGACTTTATTGCTGCAACTGTTCCCATAGCCACCCCCTCTCCACCTGACAAGACGGAGAAGAGCGCAAAAGAGGCAGAGAAAGATGAGGCCGAGTCCCTGACAGAACCAGAGAGAGAGCGAGAGAAGGAAAAAGCGAAAGAAGCAAAGGAGGGAGAGAGTGTGGAGAGCACAGAACACGGAGAAGTAAGTGTGTGGTTGTGTGTGTACTGGTTTTGGTGGTTTACGAGGAGGAATTTGTTTAATGGCATTAATATTACAATATGGAGGTTAGTTATGAGGACATGGTTTTGGTGGTTTTATGAGCCAGAGACATATCACCCTGCAGCCCAAGACTGATTACACACTGAAGCTAAGCAGGGCTGAGCCTAGTCAGTACCTGGATGGGAGACCACATGAGAAAACAAGGTTAAAAGTGGTGTTAAAGAGGCCAGCAGGGGCCGCTAAGCCTGTGGTCTGTGTGAGTCTTATGGATGAGACGTTAAACCAAGGCCCTGACACTGTGGTCTATAAAAATCCCATGTAACCCGATGTCCTGGCCAAAGTCCCTCAATCGGCCCTTACGATTATGTGGTGAGCGCACTGGCACGTTGTCCTGTGGCTGCCATCGTATCATCCAAGTGGATGCTGTACACTGGTGGTGGTGTGGAGAGACCCCTAACCACCACCCCCCTCTCATGATTGTGAAGCGCTTTGGGTGTATGGCCATACACGATAAATGCGCTATATAAATACACATTACATGTGTTGTGTCCCCATAATCCTCATAATTCAGAACTGTTACAAATCACACTTACTGTAGCTGGGTCTTGTTAGGGGTAGTGTTAGAGCAGGGGTGTCAAACTCAGTTCCATGAGAGTCACAGCCCTGCACAGTTTAGTTCCAACACTGCTTCAACACACTTACCTGTAGGTCTCAAACAAGCCTGAATGACTCAATTGGTTGGGTCAGATGTGTTTAATTAGGGTAGGAACTAAACTGTGCAGAGCTATCACCCTCCAGGAACTGAGTTTGACACCTGTGTGTTAGAGGAAGGCTATATAATAAGCATTGTTTACTGGATAAAATACATTACACCAATTGAAAGTCCTCAAAAACCAGAAACAAAGTAAGTTTGAATGTCTGTGTGTCATACAGTGTGTGTCCCCTCAACGATACTGTAGTAAAACCTGAACTGTTTGATATTTTGAGGTCAGGCCACCAGTCACCATATTTAAGGATGGAAACGTACTGTTTGGTTAGTGTAAAGACAAAAGAAATATTTTAAAGTCCCCACAATTCACATAAATCTAGAGTGAGGAGTGTGTGTGTGTTTGTGTGTGTGTGTGTCTTGTTTTCCTTACATTGTGAGGACAAATTTCGACCTTGTGGGGACATTGCTTTTGATCCCCATAAAGAAAGTAGCTCATATATCACAGAGAATTGAGATTTTTGAAAATGTAAAAATACAGATTGTTTACTGTGAGGGTTTGATTTACGGGTGGGGTCGGGGTAGGGGGATAGAAAATACTGTTTGAACATCAGACAACTCCATTGTTTCTTGGGACAGAAGGGGCAGTAAATCATTTTATCTGTCCTTATAAAAATAGCTGTACAGTTTGTGTGCATGTGTGTGTGTTGGCATGTGGCAGGGTTTATTTTGATTTATAGGTTTAGCTAAACACTGTGTATCTGATTAAATTTAAATTTCATATGTCTAATAGAGTGTTGGAGAGCATGTTGTTGTTTACTTTTAAAGATAATTCTTAAGATTTTTACGCTATGTGATAATTCCTTCATTTTAATATTAAAAAGTAATGTCTGTGGTTTAGAATGTGACTAGCGTTTAAAAAGTGGAGATTTTTTTTAATACCAAACAATGTTTAAACTACTAATTAAAATAAGCAGAATCAACACAATTCTTGTTTTTTTTTTTGGGACAGCTTAATTGTTTTACGTTCAATCCACTTAAATTTGTAAAAACAATTAAGTTAACATAATCGATTTGTTATGTTTGATGAAATAAAGGAATTGTGGGGAGCCCAGTAATTTTAAAGTGTAACTGTATTTGAATTGTAGGGACTTTTTTATAGATTTCTTTTGTCTTAATACTAACCAAACAATGTTTTCTATCCATGAAATCAACAGTACCCTCCATCCTACCTTTAAAAAAAACTGACTGCATTTTTACACTTTCAAATAGAGTATTTTTAATATTTCTTACCTCATGGGGACTGGTTGCCTGACCTCAAAATTTCAAACATTTCAGATTTTACTACAGTATCATTGTGGGGGGACACAATGTATGATAAACCAATGCAATCATAGACAGAGACATACACACATACTTTTTTATGATGGTTTGTGAGGACTCCCGGTTGGCGTAATGTATTTTATGCCATAAAAACTGCTTATTATATCGCCTTCTTCTAACCCAGGGGTGTCCAAACTCGGCCCTGGAGGGCATGAGCCCTGCAGATTTTAGCTCCAACTTGCCTCAACACACCTGCAAAGATGTTTCTAGAAAGCCTAGTAAGAGCTTGATTAGCTAGCCCAGGTGTGTCTGATAGTGGTTGGAACTAAACTTTGCAGGACACCAGCCCTCCAGAGTTTGGACATGGCTGATCTAACCCTACCACTAAACTCAACGAATAGAAATCTGTGGGAAATTAAAAGACTCCATTATGCAGGATTTTTAATCATATTAAATTATGAGGACAAAATGCATGTCCTTATAAACCGCCGACACATTCTATAAATTTAGAATATGCATAATGCAGTAATATCAGTAATGTTATGTTTTAAAATAGCTTCTTAATGTATTTTTAATTGATATATATTTTAGCTGCCATTACTGAGCGCTCATGAAATGTTTCTTATAATTATCAATGCTGAATAGAGTTACTTGCATTTGTTTGAAACAGATTTTTGTTTTGTAACAGAGTAAACATTTTTATTGATTCCGTTTCATCTCTTTTTATTCCTCTTTACCTAATCAAAGTATTCATTTCTTAAACTCATACTGACCCCGAAGTTTGGAATGATTGTCTATGAATGTGGAAAAATCAAAGTGAATCTTCTGAATGCCAGTGCAAGATATCTTTTGTTGTTTGTTCAAATACACAGTTCACTTCCTAAGCAACATTGTTTGACATTAATCAGACTTGATAACAACTGCTTTTCATTGTACCAAAAGGAGATATTTCATTCAACAATTATTTTAATATGTTGTGCATGCAATGTAGGTCAGTGGGCACCAAAATTATTACCAACATTCTTCAAAAAAATCTTCTTTGGTGTTCAGCAGAAAGGCAAGCAAAAAGTATATTGTTTTTATTTTTTTTTTAATGTAATTTACTGGTCATAAAAGCAGATTGCCCTAATCCATCTGGCCTGGTGGAAACCTAATGGCCCAAATCTCCAATAATCTTTGATAATAGGACTGTTTCAGCCCAACACACAGCACTTTTGGTGATTTTCATCTCAGTTTGTGCAAAAATCTAATGTACAACAGCTCTGTTCCAGGATGTCTGAAAAAGCAGGAAGCAAACAGTCCAAAAAACTGCATTACAGACTGTCTTATTAAGCGCAACATCTGCTATAATGTAATGAAACCAACATCTGTTACAATATAATGAAATAATTAAGATTTATTTGTTGCTTGTTACAAAATGATTTTATCAGGATACAGCTTTTAAATAATTGTTTAAAGAAGTGTTTGTTTTTTAACAATAATATCGTCATGTAAATATATTGTATGTGACACTCAAATAAAGCAAACGTTTCTTTATGTTCTTCCAGGCTACAGGGAACGAGGGTGAGAAAGATCCAATAACCAGTGAAAAATCTCAGACATCTGAAAGTCCAGCAGCGGCAGCTTCTGATGACTCAAAAACTAAAGAAAATCCTGACATCTCTCAGTCTCCACCAAAAGAAAAGAATGAGAAGGAGAAACAAGAGGAGGAGGAGGGCAAGGAAAAAGAGCCCTCCACCGAGAAACCGTCTGATTCTCCATCTGTTAAAGAAGAGAGCAAAGGTAACAAATGATGAAATCTGGTCAACTGTAATTCGTCTTTCAGTTTATTGTAATCTGACTGTTGTCTGTCATCGCAGAGGCTCTGAAAGGTGACAAAAAAGAAAAGGCTGGAGAAGAGAAGGAGAAAACTGAAGCATCGTCCCCTCCCTCAGAAACAACAGAGAAGAAGGACAAATTAGATCAGTCGTCTGAGGTCAAAAAAGGTGAGATTTCTTTGCATTTTGTATATTTCATACTTTATATAAAAGAACATAAAAAATGGTGGAGTTAAAACTTGCCTATTTCTAAGAAGGGGGACCAGAGGGTGTGCTCCAAGTATAGGGGATCACACTCCTCAACCTTCTTGGGAAATTCTATGCCAGGCTACTGGAGAGGAGAATCCGGCCAATGGTTGAACCTAGGATCCAAGAGGAACAATGCAGTTTTCGTCAAGGCAGTGGTACACTGGACCAGCTCTAAACCCTCACCAGGGTGCTTGAGGGTTCATAGGAGTATTCCCACCCAGTCCACATGTGTTTTGTGGACTTGGAAAAAGCATTCAGCCGTGTCCCTCGTGGCATTCTGTATAGGGTGCTCTGGGAGCATGGGGTCAGAGGTGCTCTGTTAAGGGCTGTTTCCTCCCTGTGTGAACAGAATAAGAGTTTGGTTCGCATTGCCAGCAATAAGTCAGACTTGTTTTCAGTGCATGTTGGATTCTGGCAGGGCTGCCCTTTGTCACCAATTCTGTTCATAATTTATATGGACAGAATTTCAAAGCGCAGCTTGGGCTGGAGGGGATCCCGTTCGGAAACTACAGGATTTCATCTCTGTTTTATGCAGATGATGTTGTTCTGTTGGCTTTATCGAACATGGACCTTCAGTATGCTCTAGAGTGGTTTGTTGCCGACAGTGACGCGGCTGGGGTGAGAATCAGCACCTCCAAGTCCGAGGCCATGGTGCTCCACCGGAAAAAGGTGGTTTGCTATGTTAGAGGAAAGTCCTTACGCCAGGTGAAGGAGTTTAAGTATCTTGGGGTTTTGTTCACGAGTGAAGGAGCTGAGGAGCTGAGCAGAAAGGCAAAGCTCTCGAATTACCGATCAATCTACGTTCACATATGGTCATGAGCTTTGAGTCATGTCCGAAAAGACAAGATCTTGAATACAAACGGCCAACATGAGTTTCCTTCGCAGGGTGGCAGGGCGCACCCTTATAGATAGGGTGAGAAGCTCTGTCACCCAGGAGGAGCGAATCGAGAGAAGTCTGCTGAGATGGCTCGGGCATCTGTTTCAGATGCCTCCTGGACGCCTACCTAGGGAGGTTTTCCAGGCATGTCCAACCGGAAGGAGGCCTCTGGGAAGACCCGGGACATGCTGGAGGTACTGTGTCTCTCGGCCGGCCTGGGAACGCCTCGGGATTCCACGGAGGAGCTGGAGGAAGTGTCTTGGGAGAGGAAAGTCTGGAAGTGTCTTGGGAGAGGAAAGTTCTCTCCTAGGACTGCTGGCCCTGCGACCCGGCCCTGGAAAAGCACTTGAAAATGAATGAGTTCAAATTTGTTTGTACAATTACACTTAATAGTGCAATGAACGCTACATTAAAGCCGGATATATACTTTTGTAATGAAAGAATGGTGTACCACATGACACATAGTTTGCACAAACCCCACACTCTTGTGAACATTTATACTTCTGCGTTCTGCCTGTTTTGCTCTGATAACACTCCCAAACTCTAGTAGGCAGTGGGGTTTCTATTGCCCACTGTGTTGAGTTTCTCTGCTGGTGTTTTGGGTTTACGACACAAATGGGTGTGGTGCTACTGTAGAATTCACACTCTATCAAGAAAGAAAGAGGTGGGAACCAGCAGTGGAAACAGTGGAAATTAGCCACATAGCCATCACTGTGGCTGACACTAACGCGCACCTCTCGAAAAATGTAACGACATGTCGCAACAACGCATTGTGCAAGCTCTGTGATTGGTTGGTTTGGTAGCGCTGACAAGTGTGGGCGGTGCTTACAAGCGTTGAGTCCTGTGAAGAACCTCCTTATGGAAAATTTTGTTTTGTGTTTTTAAGGTATTAAGAAAGCATTCAGAAAAGAAAAAAAACACCCACAAAGAACCTCAACAACGAGGATAATAAAAGCCTACTGCCAGCTAGCGTTTCAGAAGTGTTATTGCAGAGCAACACAAACAGCTTGTAAAAGTATAAATGCATGGCTACGTGCAAGGCAGGCGCCATGGTTCATGACAATCAGTCGACGCAGAAGTATAAACCATCCTTTACAGACAGGAAAGTGTAGGAAGCGGAGATATGGACCTCAAGCCAGGAATCAAACTTGGGTCGCTGCAAGCACCCCGATGATACGTGTCGACGCATCAACCGCTAGGCTGTTGGCGCCAACTAGAGTTTCTTTTAAACCCTCCGGTCAGCGGCCTCTCTCCATCCACCTCCATATTCTCTACCAATCACAGCTCTTGTGTTCGACATCGTCACAATGTGCCATTACATTTTTTGAAGGGTTCACATCACAGCAAATACTATAGAACTGTCAAATAAGAGACTTGAGAAATATTGAAGAATAAAATTAGAAAACAGTTCTATGGAAGTTGGAATTAAAGAAATGCTTAACGGTCAGAATAATAATAGCTTAACAATTATTTGAAGGAAACTGGTTTATTAAACCGAGTATAATTTGCATAATTTTATACAATTTTTGATGGGACATTTGAAAGTTGATTTAATTCCACACTCCAGACTGCCATTAAAATGAAAAGAAGTAGAATGGTTCACATTAGAGTATGGCAAAGATTACGGCTGCGTCTGAAGTGGCCTATTACTCAGTATAAATGCGAGTAGTATGAATGTAACTCGGACGTACTACATTTGCTCTTTTGTCATGATAACGTGACCTATCTGTGTAATAGTTGCATACTATTCATGAATTCTCTTGTGGTGCATCATGGGATAGCGAATCGGCCATCCGATGCATACTTCAGAATCTTGCCGGAAGTAGTAGGTCATCAGAGGACTTCTTGCATACTGATTTTCGAACTTTATGAATTCAGACATACTACTCGGCACGCATACTGTTTTTAGCGTACAATATAGTATGGAAGTATGCGATTTTAGATGCACCCTGATTGACAGTGTGAAGGCAGTGCTGGACCATCTCGATGCAGAAGTATAAATTGGCCTCAAGACTACAGTTTTTTTTTTCGTGAAGAGTAAATTACTAGGAATATGATGTAAACTTGTTTTTCTTCTTCCATCGGGTCACAGAGGAGGTGAAGGGTGAAAGGGATGCTGGGAAGGAGGTCAGAGTGCAGAGGGAGGAGGTGCCCAAAGTTATCAGCAGACCAGCAGAGCGTCCACGGTTCATGTTCAACATCGCAGATGGAGGATTCACAGGTAAACTCAAACACTGGTTAAAGCTGCAGTGTGATTTTTGTTTGTGTTGAACTACTTACAATATTGAAGCCATCTTTTCTCTTGTACTAATTCAAATGTTTGTGGCAATAACAAAAGTGATGACTAAACAAAACTATTTATGTTGTATTTGATAAACTGATTATGTGTCTTTAAAATTATAGATAATTATAATTTAGAGAATTTATTTGCAGTAAATGACAGTAGGTTAGTATTAAATATCTTGTTTTCAGACCTTAAATATTGGAAATTAATAATTGTTTTTTTAAAAAAAACTTTATATATCCTGAGTCCTAAAGTGTTTATTTAAAGTTTTTAATGAATACATGAAATAAATATATATTTTATATAATCTATCTATCCATCCATCCATCCATCCATCCATCCATCCATCCATCTATCTGTCTCTTTGTCTGTCTGTCTGTCTATTTATCTACTGTCTTAATCCATCCATCCATTCATAAATCCATCCATCCATCCACCCACTCACCCGATCATCCATCCATCCACCCTCCCACCCAATCATCCATCCATCCATCCATCCATCCATCCATCCATCCATCCACCCAATCATCCATCTATCCATCCATCCTTCCATCCATCAATCCACCCATTAATAAGATGTTGTTTGCCTACAGATGTGGTGTATTTTTGCCATTTTCTAGTAGGGGCTAACTAGTCCAAGTTTACAAAGAATAATTAATAGCCACAGTTTTTATTTAATTTTATTTTTTGCGTTTAATTTTGCAATTCTAATAGCAATAAAAATAGCATCCTGTAAAAGAAATGTTTATGTTAAGTACCTGCATCACTTTTGATGCTGTCAATCTGCTGAACATCTCACTCATTCCTACAGTACGTCTTCACCTTAACCATGTTTGCCCTTAAATCAAAACATGCCAGGTCATTGTGCCAACGTTATGTAAATCCAATCACTCGTGTAATGTTAGGTATGTCCTGTTATGATAAAGTGCAATAGAGCAGAGTGTTTAGTCGAGGGAACATGACTCTGAATGTCTCTGAGCTTCTGTTCAGCGGTTTTACCAGTAACAGCAAGCAGTGATTTCATCTGTCAGTGGTTTACAAATGCTCCTTAGATTAGTTTCCATCGTTTCACCATTGATTATTTCCTAAAATGACTCATGTTGAAATGTGAAAGCCTATGATTTCATGCATTCTGATTATATTCATGGTCAAATCTGCATGTAAATGTCAGCTTGCGTGTTTATGCTTTGCGAGCATATAGTGTAGGAGTGCATGCATCAGTGTTTCTCAGCGAGTCTAATACTATGAATAATTGACCTGTGGTAAGGGTGGATACTTCAATGGGAGTACTGGGAATATAAAGGGAGAGTTCAGGACTAGGAGTGTCATTACTGTTCTGCAATATGTTTTGAAGATGAGTGTAATGACCAGCACTGTATCATGCTTTTCTCTAATTTTTCACCTACTAGTGTCACTTATTTGTTTTCTTTTATTCTAAGCAGTGGTTAACTAAACCACAGTTCCCATTGTAAATACATATAACTCATTCATTTTCCTTCAGTTTAGGTCCTTATTTATCACGGGTCATGATTTATTGTTACTAGTTTGTCCAGAAAATAACAAAAATTGGTCGGGATAGCAAAGATTATAGTGATGTTATATTGATTTTTGGTCAAAACAGTTTAGATAGTTACATATTCGTATATTGATGTTTTGTTCATTTATATATATTGTCTGTTGCTTGAAATAGTTAGCTCATTCCTCACAACCAATTATTCATGTCAATGAAAGTGTCAGTTTCATCAAGATGAAAAGTCCTGACACCATTGCTTATGAACAAGATAGTCAAATGGCTTTGTCATGTTTTCATTATGACAGTTTACTCTGTACACTTTCCCCAATGCAAAGAAGTCTGATTTTGGTGACACTTCCTGAGAATGCCCAAGACAGCACTATATACTATTTGCACAGCCATTTGAAAACTACATTAAAGTTGGACATCACTGCATTTAGAGAGGTATCTGAGAGGGACACTGGAACGTTTTAATGCCACAGTTCATCAGTGGATCGCAGCTTGTAAATTGTATGTCAGCTTATAAATAAACCAGCTGACCGACCTGACTTTGAAATGCTCCAGTGTCTCTGTATCTGTGTTTACACTCAGTAAACAGTGGTGAGTTTGGTGAACTGATGACCTTCACGACCAATCACAGTAATTTCTGTTGAGCATGTGAGCACAATGACAAATTAGCACTGTTTAAGATCGTGCTCAGTAGCGCTCAAATGTTAGCGGAAAATTTTTAGTATCGATTTGTACAGAATTCCAGTATCGTTACAACATAGTGTGTAAATACAGTTGAAGTCAGAATTATTAGCCCCCCTGTTTAATTTTTTCCCCAATTTCTGTTTAACGGAGAAGAGATTTTTTCAACACATTTCTAAACATAATTTATAAAGTTTTATTTACTCATTTCTAATAACTGATTTATTTTATCTTTGCCATGATGACAGTAAATAATATTTGTCTAGATATTTTTCAAGACACTTCCATACAGCTTAAAGTGACATTTAAAGGCTTAACTAGGTTAATTAGGTTAACTAGGCAGGTTAGGGTAATTAGGCAATTTATTGTATAATAATGGTTTGTTCTGTAGGCTATCGAAACAAATATAGCTTAAAGGGGCTAATAATTTTGCCCTTAAAATGGCTTTTAAAAAATTAAAACTGCTTTAATTCTAGCCAAAATAAACAAATAAGACTTTCTCCAGAAGAAAAAATATTATCAGACATACTGTGAAAATTTCCTTGCTCTGTTAAACATCATTTGGGAAATATTTTAAAAAGAAAAAATATTCAAAGGGGGTCTAATAATTCTGACTTCAACTGTATATATCACAAACTGAGGGGACGGGGGGAGTCGGTGGAGCGAGGAAGCGATCAAAAATTGAGGAGCAGAGAAGGGGGGCGGGGTGGAGTGACAACGCGGGGAAGCCTTCACAAACTGGAGCGATCACAAACAAGCGGCGAGAGCGTCAAAGTAACCAGAAGTCATTCATTTTCAATGAGAACCGGCGGCGAGGAGCAGTGCGGTGCATCCTCTCCGGTGTGGGTGTCGAGGAGAGTTGAAATCAAGTCAACTTTATGGTAGTGGTGAGTTATGACGCGGTTGGGCGGCAAGCAATCAGTGTGAAGTAGTCCACAGTTTTAGAGAAGTTCAGAAAACACAGTCCTGTGAACTTTGGTTCTGACCACTGATGTTCCCAGGGGTTTGATTATTGCGGTTGCCGGATTTTCAAATCACGACGCGGGGCCCCCTAATCACGCGGGGCCCTCCCTGTCCGCTACGCCACTGCTTCTCAAACGATCAGGGAAACGGGCCTTGGCACGGTTTGGATAGCATAGTGTGAATTCGCCTTTACCTAAATCCCAACCCCAACCTAGCAGCCTACTTATAATCTAATGAGAATTAAATGGCATGTACAGTAGATGCAATGTAACTTAAATTTAGCAAACAGACCAACAAAACCAAGTGTGACCTTCTTTACTAAAAGGCTGGTTACTATACAGTACCAACAATTAGGGTCAATAGTGGTAGCCTCTTACAGATTTCAAAGAAAAATCTTAGTATTAAAAAGGGAAACATAAGCTGGACCACAACCGATCATATCAATGTCACAATGAATGCTGAAATAATGTAGCCTAGTTTATTAGGTCTGTTATTTTAACTAAAAAATATTTGTTATTTGAGCTCATCACCAGAACTATAGAAACTGTATTGTTAAAAAATAAAGACACAGTATCGGGATTGGATCTGTATCAGTGGATACTCAAAATTTTGGCATCCAATCGGTTCCAAAAAAAAAAATGGTATCGGCGCATCCCTAGTTAAAAACAAGAACATAAATTCACAAAATAAAATTTCAGCTTTTAATATTGTCATTTTATTGATTCTTAGCCATAAGATGAAAATAATCATCTGTGTCAGCCATCATTTTAAAAACTGAGCATTCCTGCCTGTACTTTTGAAATTTCCTAATATTCAAAAGCCTTCTCTTGGCAGGCCAGTGGTAAATCTCTACTCTATTATTGCTTAGATCCCCCCGCCTCAGCCCCAGTCACTATAAATAGTTCCAGTTCCCAGAAGCCAATCACTTTATAGCGTTTAATTTACAACTTTGAAGGAGAACAACTAAACATCAAGGGGTTTGTATTTAGCGTGGATAAACATTTCACCAGCGCTGATAAAACATTTCAAGCAAACACTACACATGCCGCCTGCACTCTGAACATCACCATTGTGTTTATAGCTAGATAACAGGATTTATGCACTTGCAAGCTTTGTTGTCGGAGGACTGTTGCCTGTTATTTATTTTCCTTCAGCAGGTATAATGGGATGGTATCTGATATCTGCTGGTGTTTTTTTCTCATCTACACAGAGCTCCACACTCTCTGGCAGAATGAGGAGCGGGCAGCTATTTCATCAGGCAAGATCAACGAGATCTGGCACCGGCGGCACGACTTCTGGCTGCTTTCAGGAATCGTGTGGTATCCTTCGAGATAGACTGATCCTGTCACCGTGCAAACTATCCAGATCTATTAATGTATATTTATACTGCGTTTGCTGAATGAACAGTGTTTAGAGCTCAAAGCCAAGAAGAACATGGTGGTAAAACGAGATGGAGAAACGCAATAACATTCACACACAAAATACGTTCATTTGCTTTGCTGAATTCTACAAAGAGCAAAGTTTTTTTTAATTTTTATTAAAAACTTAAATTATTTTATTAACAACTTCTTTTCTACTGCAGATTGTCCATTAGAGTTAAGTTGCTTTGATTTTAAAAGATTGATCAGTTGTGTTTTTTTTCTAAAAGTAAATAATTATAAATTAATGGAGAATTGTATTATACAATTAATTATGCACAGTTTTTTAAACTCTGAAATACTGCTGATACAACTAATTTTATGCTCTCTTTTTTATATATATTTAGAGAACATGTTGACAAAATGTGTTCTTCTCAGATTATTTATTACATTTTCTTAGGCCCCGTTTATATTAACACGTTTACAGTTTAAAATAATGAGTTTTGCTACGATTACGCCTTCTGTCCACACTACCCCAGAGTTTTAAAGCGCTGGAAACTAAGCGTTTTAAATTTTTTTTTAGCGTTTTAGTATGAAAATGCTGCTAAAACAGAGAACATCAGAAAATAGAGGCGTGGCTGCAGACAGTCGTGCTACCTGATTGGGTCTTTTTCTCTGTATTAAGCACACACAATTCAGTCTTGCATCGTTTCCTTGTAAGTTCAGACTTTGCAAAATTGCTATGAAAAACAAACTTTCAAGGACACGTCGGGTAAATCTTCATAGGGAACAGTGTGGCTACTTTATTACATACTTCACATCACTCTGGCTATGTTGTTTTACTATTTTAACAATAAAATAAAAACATAATATAAGGAACTGCCTATTTTCATTTTGATATAAGCAACTTAACAGACACCAATAATAAGGCATCGTGTTGCTACATATTTATATGACCGTCATCTTCACTGTGTGCATATTTAAAACAACTTTTTATAACATCCTTTCATTTTTATTGAAAACTATGAAACATACCGTCTCTTTTGCTGAATATCAGTTTTAATAATCAGTAATGGCAATCAATATCATAATAAGTTTATACAATATAGGAAATAAAGACAAGCAATCAGTCAAATGTGCAGAATTAATGTACGTGGTTACATAAATTAATGGATTAACTTATCTTTGCGCTCAGTCAAAACACATTACCTGATAGATTTAAAAGAAAGTCATTAGATAAAGACAAGATTAGACTAATTAAGTATCAAGTTATCAACTATAGTAAGATAAGATCCAGCAGTATATCCTTGATGAACTGTCTGACATGCGCTGCTCTCACCAGAGGAGGTGTGCTCAAAGCCCTCGCAGACTGCCTGAGGATCAGACCTCCAGATATGCTGCAGCACATGACAGAGTGTTGTGTGGTCATGTGATGTGTGTTGTTAGCGGTATATTGTGGATGGAGAACTTTTAGGTAACTCTAAGTAAAACGTAAGTGTAGCGTAGATCGTTTTCGTTCTAAAACGCCATTTATAAAATAAAACATATTAGTGTAAATGGGGCTTTAATGTAATAAATCTAATTACCATCTTAACATCTTTCTTAAAAAGCTTTTTCATTTACAATGTCTCTGTTGATTATATTTAACTTTTTTATTTTATGTCTTAATTATTGTAAACAAATAAATTATTAAATAGACCTAAATAATTATTTATGTAAAGACAATATCAGTAAAACATTACCAGTCTAAAGGGCTTTAAAGTTGAATGGTACTTCATCAAAAGCATAAAAATAAACTGGCCTACCTGAAGCAGATCACTAATACTATAATAAAAGTAATTTTGCCACAGGACATAAATAAACTCTAGCAAGTTTATTTTATATAGTTTAGTTTCCTTTTTTTTCAAAATGACAATGTTCTCTTTTAAGTTATAGTTATGTTTTTGAAAAGCTTTTTAAAACTATAAATGGCCCAGTATCTTTTATGTTGTTTAATTTCAATTTCCGTCACTTTCTTGCATGAGTGTGAAATATAATGTGCGCATAACAGCATAAAAAAGGAAAACTCAGTCAAAAGTTACAGCTAATTCCTCAAAATTAGCTAAATTCTAAAATAATTTATTTATTATTTTTTAAATGTTTTAATTTAAGAGTATTTTAAGAAAACACCTCGTCAAAAAAGTATGAGTTTCTAAACTATTATTTACATACTGCTGTAGCATTTATTGCCATTTTTTTATGATATATATATATATTTTTTTTTTGTAAATTCCTTGTCATTTTTTCCGTTTTGTTAAAGTTTTAATTAAACTTAATATTTTACATTGTTTTTGTAATTTTGTCACTTAAGCTTTTTTTTATTTCAGTTAACTGCCCAGGTTTGACCCTTGACCTCTTTCAGTCATGGCTACGCACGGTGGCAGGACATTCAGAATGACCCGCAGTTTGCAATCATAAATGAACCCTTCAAAACTCAAGCCAACAAAGGAAACTTCTTAGAGATGAAAAACAAGTTCCTGGCAAGACGGTTCAAGGTATGTTGTTAATAAAGAATATCAAGTATAGTTATTATATCTTCTTTTTGTTTGTTGTTATATCTTCTGCAGCGTTCATTCTGTTTATTTTTCATGTTACCTATTTTCTTGCATTGCAATATGTCAATGCTTGAAAGAACTTTCTTTCATTTATATCATAATGATATGCTTGTGAATATATCCTCCGACCCTTGCCTTATGTTCTGCTGCATTCATGGCTCCTGAAGTTTGTATGTCTACATGTTAACACGTCGCAAAACTCAAAACCTGAAAATGCTGACACGTATTCTTGTGAAAGAGCCTCGTCTCTCTTTGTTTTTCCTGTTTTTTTCATCACATGTTTCATATCCTTTTCTCTACATCCTCCTTTTACTGTCTTCAGCCTCCCTCTCTTTCTCTCTCTCTCTCTCTCTCTCTGTCTTTCTCTTCTTCTCTTACATAATTCTGAATGCGTTGAGCAACCTGAGAACCGCTGTTATTCCAGTGGAACTTCTTTTAATTGGAAGCTGGTGCTTTCTCATGCTCATAAATCACTGGAACCGTTTTTCATTCCAGACATAATTTTTTTCTGTCAATTCTGTTCAATAAATTTCATATTCCTTTTTATTTGGTGGTCTAGTTTCTCTCTCTCTCTCTTGCTCTTTCTCTCTATTCATTTCTGCATTGTGTTTTAAATAGACTTCAATGATGCTTTTTCCATTGTCTTTTCTTGCTTTTTTAAATCAGGAGTGTTTTGGGGTTCAGATGATGTAATGAAAATATTATGCTACTGATCAAAATGTGGAGTCATTTTTATAGTGTTACGAAGGACTAAAAAAGGACTTTATTTAGCAGAATCTTGGAGGTTTTGTATCATGCTTTCCACAAAGACATTAATCAACACAGCAGTTCGACAATGATAAATAAATACAGGGCTACAGACTTACATTGGAGAGCACTCAGATCTTCTGAAATCAGAACTTGGTCCTACTCATTTAAAACACATTCTGAAAAGGCAGAGTAATTATGACTGGAGAGTTTAGTAAACCCTTTTCTTTTGGAACAAGCCCAATAATTCGTTGAGCCAAGTAGTGCTATTTTGTTCAGTTTTTGCTGTGTTTGTTTATATATATATATATCGAGAAGAATTCTAGGAGTCCGGTATATTGGTTGTGGCACTAGTGCAACATCTCTAGCAAAATTGTGTGTTGCGAGTTGTAGACGAGCAGATGGGTAGTTCCAAATGCAGCTTTTTTTTTAGAATGGTCATGCAGGCAGGGGGAAGGGGCTACTATGAGTTTTTTTTTTTTTTTTTGCTGGGTTCATGACATCACAAAAACTAAAATTTACTTTACATGCGAACCAATCAATGCCCATTACTTATTTTTGAGGGAGAGGCTACTACTGTATGAGTTTTTTTCTGGATTTATAACATCACAAGAACTCAAATTTACATAAACACCACCCCTGATGTAACATTTTCTTCAACATGGTTTAGCGAATCAGAGCACATTGGGCCTGCGAACCAATCAGTGCACATTACTTATTTCTGAGGGAGGGGCTACTATGAGCTTTTTTTAGGGTTTATGACGTCACAAGAACTCAAATTTACATAAACCCCACCACCGATGTAACATTTTCTTGAACATGGTCTAGCGAATCAGAGCACACTGGGCCTGTGAACCAATCAGTGTCTATTACCTATTTCTGGGAGAGGGGCCATTATGAGGCTATTGCTGGGTTTTTGACATCACAAGAACTAAAATTTACATAAACTCCACCCCCAATGTGACGTTTTCTTCAACATGCACGAGCAAATCAGAGCACACTGGGCCTGTGAACCAATCAGTGCCTAATACTTATTTCTGAGGGAGGGGCTACTATGAGCTTTTTGCAGGGTTTGTGACAGCACGAAAACTAAAATTTACATAAACTCCACCCCCGATGTGACGTTTTCTTCAACATCAGGGTACACTGGACCTGAGAACCAATCGGTGCCTATTATTTGTTTCTGAGGGAGGGGCTTCACTGGACCAGGAAGTCAACAGATCATTGTAGGTTTTCCATACAGTTTTACACTTGTAAGATCTGTCTGTCTGTCTTTGTCAGTTGCTGGAGCAGGCCCTGGTAATCGAGGAGCAGCTGCGTCGGGCTGCCTACCTCAACATGACCCAGGACCCCACTCACCCGGCCATGGCCTTGAACGCCCGCTTTGCTGAGGTCGAATGTCTCGCTGAATCCCATCAGCATCTCAGCAAGGAGTCGCTCGCAGGAAACAAACCTGCCAATGCCGTCTTGCACAAGGGTGAGGAAAGCGTGCCTGTGTGATAGATCTCATAAATATCTTTATATGGAAAAGACGATGGATCAGAGGGAATGTGTTTGTGTGTAACTTAGACAAAAATTGCTGGCGTCTTTCTTGAGTGCCTGATAAAAGGCCTTGTGGATTGATCCAGCGGGACCAGAGTTCCTGCCAGCTCTGATATGGGAACAGTTCAAGAACACAAGGCACTTTTAATATGTCCTGGAGTTTTCTCAAGTGTGTTGTTTAATCTGTACCGATAAACTATTTATTGGATACCGGTTCATCTGGCCCGCCAAACTTATTTAGCTTACAATTGCTGATAGAACCATAGATAAATTTCACTTTGACAGCCAGAATCAACTGTATTACTTTCAGTTAGCTTTCTGAATCATGAAGTGGTGTGTAAAGCTTTTATTGATGATAAAAAGGAGCCTGTTTTATGCGTTTTAAAACAAGTGCTCATTTAGTATTATTTAATTACTTTTTGAGAATTTATTCTGTTTTGGCTTAAAAACTTACTATTTTTTATATTTTCTTTTTAGAAAGTTTAAGAAGATTAAGTATGCTTTTTGCTAATTTATTTTTTCTCCAAATGTTAATTTATATATATATATATATATATGTTTTTTGTGTGCTTTCAAGATACCGTTTCTTAATTTGTCTTTTTTTATTTATGTAGTTTTAAATTTTTATGTTCAGTTTTTTTCTAATGTTAAGTTTCTCATCTAAGATTTAATTTCAGTATTTATTATTATTATTTTGATTCCAGACAATTTCCATTAGTTTTATGTTTATACACTCACCGGCCACTTTATTAGGTACACCTAACTAGTACCAGGTTGGACCCCCTTTCAGAACTGCCTTAATCCTTAATGGCATAAATTCAACAAGGTACTGAAAATTTTCCTCAAAGATTTTTGTCCATATTGACATGATAGCATCACACAGTTGCTCATTGTCATGTTCAAGAAACCAGTTTGAGATGATTCACGCTTTATGACATGGCACGTTACCCTGCTGGAAGTACCCATCCGAAGATGGGTACACTGTGGTTATAAAGGGATGGACATGGTCAACAACTATGCTAAGGCTGTGGCGTTGACACAATGTTCAATCGGTACTAATGGGCCCAAAGTGTGCCAAGAAAATATCCCCCACACTATTACAACACCACTGCCAGCCTGAACCGTTGATATAAGGCAGGATGGATCTATTCTTTCATGTTGTTGATGCCGCATTCTGACCCTACCATTTGAACGTCACAGCAGAAATTGAGACTCATCCAGGCAACATTTTTCCAATTTTTATTGTTCGATTTTGGTGAGCCTGTGTGAATTGTATCCCCAGTTTTATGTTCTTAGCTAACAGGAGTGGCACCCCATGTGGTCTTCTGCTGCTGTAGCCCATCCGTCTCAAGGTTAAACTTGGTGTGCGTTCAGAGATGCTCTTCTGCATACCTCGGTTAAAGTGAGAAGTTAGAAATTAGAAATTTGCTTTAATAAGCGGTTGGACAGGTATACTTAATAAAGTGGCTGGTCAGTGTATTAGGCTTATGGTTCATCATAACATCTCTTAAAAAGAACAGGCATCTTTTTTTCTGGAAATATGAATCAAATTATTCTGAGGCTTAACTAATTTCAGTGTATTTGAAGAATCTAATATAAAGTTGTAACAACAATGAAGGAATATAATAGTTCTTACCGTACTCTCAGCTGTGAAAGTCAACATCAATTTAAACCTTGTTTACTTTACTAATACATATCCCAGGACGTGTATTTGTACATAAAGTTGAATAGCCCAAACAGGCCGGTTTTCTGCAGAGTTTAGTTCCAACCCCAATTAAACACTCTTTAACCAGATAATATACTAGAAACATCCAGGCAAGCGTGTTGAAGAAAGTTCTCTTGCTAAATTATCCAGGACAGTGGCCCTCTATGACAGAGTTTGGGCCCCTGGTTTAAATCAATCTGATGCATTTGTTTATCTTCAGCAGATTAACACAGTGTTCGGTCTATTAGGTGTTCAAATTAATTGTTTTTTAACTTTTCCAACAACTCCTGTCTGCCAATAATAATTGATTATAATTTTGCATGTTGTAATGATGGGCATTTTTGTAGTGCTAAACCAGTTGGAGGAGCTTCTGAGTGACATGAAGGCAGACGTAACGCGGCTCCCAGCCACACTGTCCAGAGTCCCGCCGATCACAGCCCGTCTGCAGATGTCCGAGAGAAGCATCCTCAGTAGACTGGCCAACAAGGGCAACGAGACACACACACCGCCGGTAAAACACACATTTTCACTCTAGTTTCTATTCATAAAAGACTCTTGAAATAATGTGCCATAGTTTTCACAACTGTTTTAACATTGAAAATGTTAATTAAAAAATAGTTTGGTGCAAATCAGCATGCAACGTGGGTTTCCTCTGGGTGCTCCAGTTTGCGCTATAGTTGAACTAGGAAGCCTAAATTGTCCATAGTGTATGTGTGTGAATGAGAGTGTATGGGTGTTTCCCAGTAATGGGTTGCAGCTAGAAGGGCATCCACTGCGTAAAACATATGCTGGAGGAGTTGGCGGTTCATTCCGCTGTGGCGATCCCTGATTAATAAGAATCGGAGAAAAAAATGAAATATGATTTTAATTAATATTTTTAAGTCTCACTTTGAATAAATGATTCGATAACTCATTCCTACAAACAAAACAATGTTATTTTCTATATGCCTCTAAATTTTTAAAGAATCTCTGGAACTATTCATTGAGGAATACCTTTTAATTGTTGCCCCCTATAGGAGTAAGAATGTAACTGCTACAGCCTTCATTGGAAGCATCAAGTTGCTTTGCTTGCTATCACAGACATCTGTGTTTATATCTCAACTATAAACTGTCATCCTAATAATTCGCTGACAGTCTGAATGTTTGTAACACATAGATATTAATGCAGGTTTTAAAGACTGAAGCTGTTTTACACCGCCTGCTCTCTCTCATATATAAAGATGTAAACTTCAAGCGTTTAACAAACATAAGCCATAATTAGGATCACATGGGTGTTTGAATAAAGACTGCAATGGATCCTATTCACATTTTTGGGCTTTTTAGCAGTGGAAGTCGTAAACTTAGAGTGCAATGAATGGGATACATTTTTTGCATTCCAATTTGGTCAAATAATATATGAAATACTCAATATGCTGTTACCAAGACTTGTGTGAGTGAAAATGTGTGCAACTGATAACAGAGAACAACATCGATTGTACTGTCCTGCCCATAGGCGCTGCATTAAAAACACTTCGCAAAAGCGGTAATTTTTATTTTTTTTATTTTTTAAAAAAAATGTGTAGCTTTATAAATATACATACATTTTTTAAAAAATCTGAATATTAAAAACATTTTTAAGATGCTGACCATTAAAACCGACATCACCATCTTGTTAAAAGGGTCAACCTTCGAACAATTAATCATGCAGCTCTGTATTATGCATATCAAGGTCAAGTATATTTAATACATTTAAATTTTATTTTATAAATTATTTAAAACTATTTTAAAGACTGTCAATTTAGACCAGTGCACATGTTTTAACAATTGATTATGGTTTATACTAGGGATGCAACAATACAGTTAGCCCACGGTACAATACATACCTCGGTTTTTTAACACAGTTTTTGGTTCGGTTTCATGGCTTGACATGTGTTTTATTTTCTAAAGGCAATAGGAACAGTAAGAGGTTAAGGAGAAAAAAATAAAAACAATTTATTGCAATACTCATTTTGTTTTACTCAAAAGCCAAGAAAAGTACACTAGTTCATAGTGTATTGTATAAAAAAAATTAACACTGAAATCTCACAGCTGCTGGTAGCCCATGTACAAACTGGGGAGCACATACATTCCTACACTTTGGAAATAAACATACATGTGAAGTTAATAAAGATAAATTGCCCATTTCAAATAAACACATTTGTACTTCAGTAAATATAAATAAACCATCTTAATTATCTCAGTGCTGAAAAAATGCGAGACTGTAGTCTGTAACGCGGATCGAGTGCTTTTATAAGATGACAAAAGCCCGCATCTCTAATCACCTAAAGGGCTGCAAATCTTTAGCAATACACCCGCACTGTCTTTATTATTTTTATGTGTCTCTCAGAACCAGTTGGGCATGTTTTCTGGAAAGATTCAGCGAGGGACTGTTGCTATTTGGAGGACTTTATTACCTTCTCTGCTATCCTGCCTTCAGACAGGGAAAATGCTGGGTGATGGCGCTGCAGATGTGCAGTCATGGTTATACGTGTAAAACAATGCTTGTACAGTTATTTTTTGTTCACCGTTTTTTCTTTTATTGGCATTATACTTACCGGCAAAACCAAAATGTCCTCATGACATGAGTTTCCTCATCTCAGCTCATGGATTTAGAGGCACACACAGTCAATTCGGGGAGATATTAACGCACATAAATTATTTAAACGCAAAACCGAGAAAACCACAATTCACGAGCGTGTTGAACTGTGGATGTCGTACTAAAAGGTTCAATATTATATTGAGAACCGTGGCATCCCTAGTTCATACTCTTTTTGTGTGTGTCTATGTGTTGTGACATGTATTTGTTATTCTTATTTTTTTGTAACCTTGTCCTATGCTGCCTGTCTTTACCAGGACTCCCTGGTAGAAGAGATATTGTATCTTAATGGGACATTCCTGGTTAAACAATTAAATAAATAAAATAAAAAAGTTAAGCTTTATTGTCACTTTGCAGCATGTGTGGACGTACAGTCGGACGAAATGTCTTGTCTTGCAGGACCACGGTGCTACATAAATAAACAAAATTATAAATATGAACACAAAACTGGACGTACAAGCTCTTTTAAACCTATGCAGAGCAGTACTCAAACTACTAACTATGCATATACTATAAATACTTACACTATACACATAAGACAAACTATACAAGTACTTTTACATAAGACAACAGTATTGTGCAAAGGAGGCAATAAAGTTTGATAAAGACAAGAAGTGCAACATGATTTGTGTTACGTTCACAAGTAAACATTGTTTTTTTTATTATTTAATCCTTGTAAGATGGAGTTTAAGTATCTGATGCATATGTAGAGAACAGTGTTTCTATCAGTGATTTGTATACTATAGTATATTCTAGTATAGTATTACTAGCTTAGCAATGTGGTCACGACAGCCTCTTTTAAAAATATTTGTGTGCCACAATGCATTGCTGTGTAATGCGTTGGCAGTAGACAGCAATGCGGCACACTGAGATTTGGAACAAAGCTCACGTCCATGCCAGTACACTGCTCGATTTCAGCCATTTGGCATTCCTTCGGAGTTTCCAAATGAATCTTACACAACTGTGAATAAAGTTTGTATTTTTTAGCTTCTCAAAACCAAGTGGTTTCTCAGGTTTATGACACAAGCAATCTCTGTTTCTCTGTGTGTTTAGCCTATTCCTCCAGGCCCGTACGCCACCCCGCAGAACTTCGGCCCTCCCTTCACACCTGCACCCTCAGCTGCCCTCGCTCTGGCCGGAGCAAACTACAGCCAGATGCCACCCGGATCCTTCATATCAGGTCAGTCTCGCTGATCCATCCCTAGTCAACACCACCAGTGGACTCAGACTCTGGTGGGCTACTCTGAGCCATTATAAAGGCTTTTTATTTACACTGATGATGAAACAGATCAGTGACAGATTAGTGTGTGTCAAATGTTTGTACTGAATGAAAGTTGTTTGTACACAAAAGCAAGTTAAGGTCTTTTATGAAGTACTAAACTTACATTTTTTATAAGTTCAAAAACACAAGGCACTTTTAATATGTCCTGGAGTTTTCTCAAGTGTGTTGTTTAATCTGCACCGATAAACTATTTATTGGATACCGGTTCATCTGGCTTGCCAAACTTATTTAGCCTGCAATTGCTGAGAGAACCATAGATAAATTTCACTTTTGAATGTCAGAATCAATTATATTACTTTCAGTTAGCTTTCTGAATCATGGATTGGTGTGTAAAGCTTTTATTGATCAAAAAGATACCTGTTTGATGCACTTTAAAACAAGTGCTCATTTAGTATTAGTTACTTTTATAGTATTATTTTTTCCTTATTTTTATATATTTCTGTTTCATTATAGTTTAAATGTGCAGCAAGTAAATTTGACACCCAGTGGTTAAACTAGGTATTGCACACATGGTTCAAAACAAATGCAAGCAAGGGTTGCCAGATTGACGACACCAACAACAATGTGCCTGACTGTTGAGGCTGATTTAAGGCTGATTTAAACAATGTTCTAAAAAAAACGGCACCCGATAGAAGGAATATTTTCCATATTAAAAGAAGGTTTTTGTACTAACAACACATGAAGTTTATATTTTAGAAACAGCTTCTATTTCTTACAGCTGAACATCAGAAAACTTTGATAATGATCACCTCAGGCACACCTCATTATTTAGTGTTAAATACTAACAATGTGAGTTTGAATGCTGTTTTACATAACATTTATTGCCATACTACTGAAAGCAGCAACAGATCTTGAAAATAAAATAAACCGTTTGTTATGGAACTTTAGTGCATGTACATTTAAAAATCACAAAGAGGTTTAATATGTATTAACTAAATTATAAACCTTGACATTTTGTTGAAGTGCAGTAAGTGCACTATTCTGTGCTTCTGAATGGCTCTATTTAAATTTCTGTTGTGTTTAGTCTGGTGCAAACAGCCAGTTTGTGACCTGCTCACCTAATGTTTGCATTCATAATATTTATATTATTTGCTAATTAATTATTGAGAGTCTTTCTGACTGAATAAATCAAATACAATAAGGCAACCTGGGGTGCTGAAATATAATTGGCCAAAGTGGCATTGTGCCAGTTAAAAGAACCAAAACAAAGACAGTCGTTCCGGCATGTAACAGACATTTTCAAAGCAGAATATCTGACTTCAGGCTTTATTTTTTCAGATAAACAAGAATGTTTACTTGGCTTGTTTCTTAAGTATCTGCAAACATATGATGGCATTTTTATGATTTAGAAGAGTCAACAACTTACAGACCTTTTTTCTTGTTTCTGTTTAAAATATTTTTTATTTCAGTTATAGTACTTTAAATTTAGCCTACTTAATTTCAGCTAGTTGCCAAGATAACAATTTATATTTTGTTCTTTTTAATTTACACACGTTATGTATTTCTTTATTTATTTATATTTTCTTCTGTTATGATCTCAACTAAAATGCAGATTTGATTTCATCTGAATGTAGAAAAGTGTGTTGTGTTGTCTATACTCTATAAAATACTAATCATAACCTAAATACGTTCTAAAATAACAAGTTTAATCCACAGTCAAGGCGGTTCATTCTGCTGTGACCACCCCAGAATAATAAAGGGACTAAGCTGAAAAGAAAATGAATCAATGAGGATTTAGTCAAACTGAAATCTGCTTTGACTAGCTGAGGGGTTTTATTTACATGGTTGTTTAGTTGGTTTAAATTTAAAAGGCAGATTCGCATGCCATCTGTTGATCATGGCAGTCATAAAATGTCAAAACAAAGTGCTTCTTGTGAGCAGCTCTGGATTGGTGCATCTGGTAGGTGCCTTAAATGTAAATGTTGAAGTCAATTTTTTTGGAATGTTAAATTCTCCTGTTGCAGAGTAATCTGAAGAGACAGCTGTAGGAAGAACATTTAGAGGCTGATTCTGTTGGAATGGGTATACTCTGTGCTGTTATTAAGATATTACTCTGCAAGTTTGAGCAGCCAATGGATTGACTTCGGGGTGGAGCCACCTGTTCGGGCATCCAATGGTACTGTACATTATGAGAGGAGTGGTCCAAAAACCTGTTTGCACACAGTAATTGTTTTTACAGTTCTGGTTGATGGAGAAGGCGTTTCACCTTCACAGACAGAGAACTTCTGGGTAATGTTAGTAAAATGAGAAGTTCCATTAAAGCAGGGCTGTTAAAAATATTCCATACTGTAGTTTTGGCATTGAAAGGGAATGAGAATTTTTTTTTTGCTGTTTGGCTACATATATTGTACTTCTAGTTCATGTATTGACTTCTAGTTGATCATTTGGAAAAGTGGCAGAAGGTAAATTTTTCAGATGAATCATCTGTGTAACTGCATTCCAATTATCACAAATACTGCAGAAGACCTATTGGAGCCTGCATGAACCCAGTATTCTCACAGAAATCAGTCAAGTTTGGTGAAGGAAAAATCATGGTTTGGTATTACATTCAGTATGGGGGCGTGTGAGAGATCTGCTGAGTGAATGGCAATATCAACAGCCTGAGCTGTCAAGAAATTTGTGCTGTACATTACATTACAAATCACAGGAGAGGGCAAATTCTTCAGCAGGATAATGCTCCTTCTTATACTTCAGCCTCCTCATCAAAGTTCCTGAAAGCAAAGCAGGTCAAGGTGCTCCAGGATTGGCCAGCCCAGTCACCAGACATGAACATTATTGAGCATGTCTGGGGTAGGATGCATTAAATATTAATCTCCTGCAAGAACGATTTCTTTGCCATTCCAGATGACTTTATTAATACGCTATTGGAGTCATTGCAGAGATGTATGGATGCAGTAGTCAAGCTCATGGGAGTCATGCATTATATAATTTTTTTTTCCACTGCTCCATAACTTTATATTCTGTACTGCACATTATTTCTGTTGTGAAAAGACTTTTGTCCAAGCAGTCAGAGCTTACTGTCCTAATTAAATAATTGAAAATCAAGGCATGATCATATTTAATTTTGATAAAATAAGTGTAATCTACAGGCCTTTGCCTTTCATATGACCCACTTTTGATACCAAATCACCAAGTAGAATTTTATTTGTTGTTCTTAAAACTTGGATAGGCGACAAGACTTTAGTCAGGTAGTGTATACTATTTTTGCATTCTTTTTGTAACTGACAGTAAGTGAGTAAATGAGATGCTAATTCATAAGTTCTTTCAAAGATTGTAATTCTTTAGCTTATTCAAAAATATTTTTTGTATCTCTTACACCTTTAATTGCGTTAACTGTTAGTGAATAGGACTACACCGGTATTATTTAGGTAATGTTGTATCTTCATACTGTATATATTTTCATTTCTCTTTTTAACTTGTTAAATTTCTAAATATTGCTATTTAGGCTAAATTTATACTTATTTCCATTGTAGTTTTATCTTAATATTTGATTTAAATGTCCAGGTAGTATTAATGTCCTTAAACCTGAACTAAATGTTTCTAAAATGTTAAATATTGCCTTGAAATAAGCTATTAAACATATTATTATCTATAATGTCAATAATCATGTGTAATATATCTGTTTTATTTCAGCTTCATTTTAAGTAACACATTTGATAGTTTTACATTTAGTTAATTATAATAACTGCTGGACTACACTGCTCATCTAAAGCAAGTAGTAATGTAATGTTTGATAAATGATCTCAGTGGACAGCGCTTAATAAGATTTACTTATGATTAACGTGGCAAAATCCACACATGATTCAACTTCCCTCTGTCTCCCTCTGTTTTTTTTCTCGCTCTTTCTCTCTCTGTCTGTTTGTGTATATGTGGGTGTACGAATGCTCTATTTCACAATAATTTGTGAGGTCAGTGTATGCGAGGCTGGATTTGACATTTGGTACATAGTTTCTCTACAGAGCACTTTGAAGGTGTAGATTTAATCAGTTGCCAAACTTGCAGTGAACTGCAAGATTTGTGTGCCACAGATTTCGTTTATAATTTTGTTCATCATAAAACACTGTTACAGATTTAATCCCTGCTTAGTATGTCACTGTTAGAAATGAAAGCACATATTGTGTACTTAGTTAGAAAAAAAACTGACATTAGTAACACTTTATGTTCATATTTCAGTAAAAATATGATTCTGGTTAGCACCCTTAATTACATTTTAATTTGAGAGGGCCCCTGTGGAATTTTGGCTAAATAATTTCACGTTTTCCGTCTTTGGTCCAAGAGAACAGATTAGCCCTGCCAGTGAGTTTATTGTTTCAATATTAGCTCTGTAACAGCATATGTGTGCAGGAAGCACTGAGAAGAATAAATGTAGTTGTATTTGTTTGCCGTTTTCTGTTTATTCTGTAAGAGGCCAAACTCCGTCCATCGTCCCGACTGTTTTTACTCGTACAGAGTTGAAGCATTTCTGCGTTGACTGTCCTGATACCAATCTTTCTACCACAGTGTCTAAGGGAGGCATATTTTCTTGCCATGGTGCTTTTTCTGAAAATGTCATTACAGTTATCCAGAACCTTAGCCGTGCCAGGAATCACTCAGCCAAGGGAACATTTTTTTCTCTGCTACTCAGATATTTTTAAGAGAGTGAAAAAAAAGAAAGAAGAAAAAACCATAAAGAAACACAAATGTGCTCGTGCTTTTACGCCGGTTTTTTAACCCCCCTGGAGGCAGAACTAGACTCTCATTCGCTTTCTCTCCGTCTGCCTCTCGCTTTCAGTCACTGAAATAGCCCCAGACTTTAGATCCTGGTGGGTGTAGAGGCTGATTGGGTTTGTTGAGGCTGTACACGCTGAACCCTCGCCTGGCTAAAAATATGCCCCGCTTGGGGCCCGTTTGAACCCTCT